TTTGGAGATTTTTGGGATATTTGGGATTTTCGGAATTTGGGGTTTTGGGGATGTTGGGATTTTTGGGATTTGGGGATTCTGGGATTTGGGTTTTTTGGGGTTTCAGATTCAGAGTTTGGGATTTGGGGTTTTTGGGGATTTTTGGGGCTTTCAGGATTTGGGGATTTGGGGTTTTTGGGGATTTTTGGGGTTTTCAGGATTTGGGGATTTTGGGGATTTGGGATTTTGGGGATTTGGGGTTTGGGGGTTTTGAGGATTTGGAACTTGGGGGATTTGGGGCTTTTGCAGATTTTTAGGATTTGGGATTTTGGGGATTTTTGAGATTTTTAGGATTTGGGATTTTTGGGGATTTTTGGGATTTTAAGGACTTGGGATTTTGGGGATTTTTGGGATTTTGGGGATTTTGGGATTTGGGGGTTTTTGGGGTTTTTTGGGGATTTTGGGGATTTTTACAATTGCTGGGGTTTGGAATTTTTGGGGTTTGGGATTTTGGGTTTTGAGATTCGGAATTTTGGGGATTTTGGGGATTTTGGGAGAATTTTTGGAGAATATTTTGGGGGAATTTTGGGGGAATTTTTTGGAAATTTTTCAACATTTTTTACAAATTTTCGGGGAATTTCTTGGAATTATTGGGGGGGAATTTTTGGGAAATCTTCTGGGGAATTATTGGGATTTTTTTCTGGGAAATTTTGGGGGAATTTTTGGGGAACTTTTGGGGCAATTTTTTGGGAAATTTTTGGGGAATTTTTTGGAATTTTTTGGAATTTTTTGGAATTTTTCGGGAATTCTTTGGGAACTTTTTGGGGAATTTTTTTTTGGGGAAATTTTTTGAGAATTTTTGGGCAATTTTTTTGGGGAATTTTTGGGGAATTTTTCAATTTTTTTTACGAATTTCTGGGGATTTTTTTGGGAAAAGTCTTTTTTGGGGAATTATTAGGATTTTTTGTGGGGAATTTTTGGGGAGTTTTTTGGAATTTTTTCGAAATTTTTGGGAATTTTTTGGGGAGTTTTTGGGGAATTTTTAGGAAATTTTTGGAGATTTTTTTAGAAGTTTTGGGGATTTTGGGGGAATTTGGGGGATTTTTTTTATTTTGGGGCATTTTTTGGGGCATTTTTTGGGAATTTTGGGGAATATTTTGGAAATTTTTGGGGAATTTTTTTGGAATTTTTTGGAAATTTTTCGGAATTTTTGGGGAATTTTTTGGCGAAATTTTTCAAAATTTTTTACGAATTTTTTTTTGGGGAATTATTTGGGGAATTTTGGGGAAATCTTTTGGGGAATTATTGGGAATTTTTTGTGGACATTTTGGGGAATTTTTGGGGGAATTTTTGGGGAAATTTTTGGGAAAATTTCGGGGAATTTTGGGGGAATTTTTTGGAATTTTTCGGGAATTCTTTGGGAACTTTTTGGGGAATTTTTTGGGGCAATTTTTTGAGAATTTTTGAGAATTTTTGGGCAATTTTTTGGGGAATTTTTGGGGAATTTTTCAAATTTTTTTACGAATTTCTGGGGATTTTTTTGGGAAATCGTTTGGGGAATTTTTGGGATTTTTTTGGTGGGAAATTTTGGGGAATTTCTTTTAATTTTTGGGGAATTTTTTGGGAAATTTTTGGGAAAATTTTTGGGGAATTTTTGGGGTTTTTTTTTTAATTTTTTGGGGATTTTTGGGAATTTTTTGGGAATTTTTGGGAATTTTTGGCCTCAGGATTTTGGGGCTTTCCAAGCATTCCAAGGAACAGAAAATCGCTTTAAAAATCCCGAATTTTATTTGTCCATGTTTGCAACGGAATAAGGAACAGAATGGATGGGGAGTCCTTGATTAGGGATAATTAATTAATTATCGATTATTAATTATCAATTATTAATTATTGATTAGTAATCCTTGATTATTAATTATCAATTATTAATAGTATTAATTTTAATTCTTAATTATCGATTATTAATTCTTGATTAGTAATCCTTGATTGTTAATTATCGATGATTAATTATCGATTATTAATTCTTGATTAGTAATCCTTGATTATTAATTATCTATTATTAATTATAGATTATTAATTTTAATTCTTAATTATCGATTATTAATTCTTGATTATTAATTTTAGTTATTAATTCTTGATTAGTAATCCTTGATTATTAATTATCAATTATTAATAGTATTAATTTTAATTCTTAATTATCGATTATTAATTATTGATTATTAATTTTTACTTATTAATTCTTGATTAGTAATCCCTGATTATTAATTATCGATTATTAATACTTGATTATTAATTTTAATTCTTAATTATCGATTATTAATTATTGATGATTAATTATCTATTATTAATTCTTGATTAGTATTCCTTGATTATTAATTATCGATGATTAATTATAGATTATTAATTCTTGATTAGTAATCCTTGATTATTAATTATCGATTATTAATTATAGATTATAAATTTAAATTCTTAATTTTCGATTATTAATTATTGATGATTAATTATAGATTATTAATTCTTGATTAGTAATCCTTGATTATTAATTCTTGATTATTAATCCTTGATTATTAATTTTAATTCTTAATTATCGATGATTAATTCTTGATTAGTAATCCTTGATTATTAATTATCGATTATTAATCCTTGATTATTAATTTTAATTCTTAATTATCGATGATTAATTATAGATTATTAATTATCAATTATTAATTCTTGATTATTAATTATCGATTATTAGTTATAGATTATTAATTTTAATTCTTAATAATAGATTATTAATTCTTGATTATTAATTTTAGTTATTAATTCTTGATTAGTAATCCTTGGTTATTAATTATCGATTATTAATCCTTGATTATTAATTTTAATTCTTAATTATCAATTATTAATTTTTAGTTATTAATTCTTGATTAGTAATCCTTGATTATTAATTATCGATTATTAATCCTTGATTATTAATTCTGAATTATTAATTATCGATTATTAATCCTTGATTATGAATCCTTGATTATTAAGCAATAAAGTGATAAATTCTAATTAATTCACGATTAGTAATTAATTATTAGGAATTCATTTCCTGGATTCTTCAAAGTTCAGAATTCCCAGGAAAAATTCCCAGGCAAAATCTTGGAATTGATGGGAAAAAATTCCTGCAAAAAACTTGGAATTCCAGGGGAAAATTCCTGCTGAAAATCGGGATTTTTTTTGGGAATTTTTGGGGAATTTTTGTGGAATTTTTGGGAATTTTTTGGGAATTTTGGAGGATTTTTTCAGAATTTTTTGGGAATTTTTCAGAAATTTTTTCAGAATTTTTTGGGAATTTTTTGGGGAATTTTTGGGAATTTTTCAGAAATTTTTTCAGAATTTTTTGGGGAATTTTTGCGAATTTTTCAGAATTTTTGGGGGGAATTTTTGAGGAATTTTGGGAATTTTTCAGAAATTTTTTCAGAATTTTTTGGGAATTTTTGGGGGAATTTTTGCGAATTTTTCAGAATTTTTGAGGAATTTTTGGGAATTTTCTGAGAATTTTGGGGGAATTTTTGGAGAATTTGGGGGGAATTTTTTAGGGATTTTTTGGGAATTGTGGCAGAATTTCCTGCTCAAATCTTGGAATTCCAGGGGAAAATTCCTGCTGAAAATCGGGAATTTTGGGGGAATTTTTGGGAATTTTTTGGGGAATTTTGGAGAATTTTTGGGGGATTTTTTTTGATTTTTATTGAGAAATTTTTGGGAATTTTTGCGGATTTTTTGGGAATTTTGGGGGAATTTTGGAGAATTTTTGGGGAGGTTTTTAGGAATTTTTGGGGAATTTTTTGGGGAATTTTTGAGAATTTGTGGAGAATTTTTGGGAATTTTTTGAGAAATTTGGGGGGAATTTTTCAGAATTTTTTGGGAATTTTTGGAGAATTTTCTGAGAATTTTTGGAGAATTTAGTGGGAATTTTTTGGGGATTTTTTGGGAAAATTTCCTGCTCAAATCTTGGAATTCCCAGGGAAAATTCCCAGAAATTCCAGGGGAAAATTCCTGCTGAAAATCGGGAATTTTTGGGGAATTTTTTGGAATTTTTGAGAATTTTGGGGGGGATTTTTTGGGAATTTTTTGGGGAATTTTTTGGTAATTTTTTTGGAATTTTTGAGATTTTTGGGGGAATTTTTGGAGAATTTTTGGGAATTTTTTGGGAATTCTGGCAGAATTTCCTGCTCATATCTTGGAATTCCAGGGGAAAATTCCTGCTGAAAATCGGGAATTTTGGGGGAATTTTGGGGAATTTTTTGGGGAATTTTGGAGAATTTTTGGGGTTTTTTTTTATTTTTATTGAGAATTTTGGGGGAATTTTTTTGGAATTTTTTAGGAATTTTGGGGGGAATTTTTCAGAATTTTTTGGGGAATTTTTGAGGAATTTTTGGGAATTTTTTTGCAAATTTTTGAGAATTTTTGGAGGATTTTTGGAGAATTTAGTGGGAATTTTTTGGGAAAATTTCCTGCTCAAATCTTGGAATTCCCGGGGAAAAATTCCCACAAATTCCAGGGCAAAATTCCCGATAAGGGAATTTTTGGGGGATTTTTGGAGAATTTTTTGGGAGTTTTATGGGAATTTTTCGGGAATTTTTGGAGAATTTTTGGGGGAATTTTTTTGAGAAAATTCCCACAAATTCCAGGGCAAAATTCCTGATAAGGGAATTTTTGGGGGATTTTTTGAGAGTTTTTTGGGAGTTTTATGGGAATTTTTGGGGAATTTTTGGAAAATTTTGGGGGAATTTTTTTTTGAATTTTTGGGGAAAAATTCCCACAAATTCCAGGGCAAAATTCCTGATAAAGGAATTTTTGGGGGATTTTTTGAGAATTTTTTGGGAGTTTTATGGGAATTTTTTGGGGGGAAAATTCCCACAAATTCCAGGGCAAAATTCCTGATAAAGGAATTTTTTGGGGGAATTTTTGGGGGATTTTTTGGGAGTTTTATGGGAATTTTTTGGGAATTTTTGGAGAAATTTTTTTGAATTTTTTTGGGGAAAAATTCCCACAAATTCCAGGGAACTTTTCCTGCTGAAATCCTGGAATTCCTGGAGAAAATTCCGGCTCAAAGTTTGGAATTCCAGGCAGGGGCGGCTCCGGGGGGAGATTTTCCAACCAATCCAGGAGGATCCGGTTCAGCTCCAGCGGCCTGGGGGGGAAAACACGGAATTCCGGGATTACTGCGGGAATTTGGGAATTTTGGGGAATTTTTGGGGATTTTTTTGGGAATTTTGGGGAAATTGTGAGGAATTTTGGGGCAATTTTTTGGGGAATTTTTGGGAATTTTGGGGGATTTTTGGGGCATTTTTTAATTTGGGAATTTTTGGGAACTTTTTGCAGATTTTTTAGGAATTGTTGGGAATTTGTTGGGAATTTTTTGGAGATTTTTGGGAAAATTTTGGGAAATTTTTTGGGATTTGGGAATTCTGGGAATATTGGGATTTGGGAATTCCAGGATTTGGAATTTGGGGAATATTGGGAATTCTGGAATTTTGGGAATTCTGGGATTGGGGAATTTTGGCATTCGTGAATTCGGGGAATTCCAGGATTTCGGGGATTTGGGGTTTTTGGGAATTCCAGGATTTGGGGTTTTTGGGGATTTTGGAATTTGGGGAATTCTGGGATTGGGGAAATTTGGAATTCCGGGATTGGAGAATTTGGGGAATTGTGGGAATTCTGGGATTGGGGAATTCGGGGTTTAGAAATTTTGGGAATATTGGTATTTGGGGAATCCTGGGATTGCGGAATTTTGGGATTGGGGAATTTGGGGAATTTTGGGATTTGGGGAATTTTGGGAATTGGGAATTCCAGGATTCGGGAATTTTGGGATCAGGGAATTTTGGGAATTCTGGGATTTGGGAATTCTGGGATTCCGGGATTCTGGGGAATTTGGAGAATCCTGGATTGGGGAATTTTGGGATTTGAGAGTTCCAGGATTTGGGAGTTTGGGAATTTTGGGGAATATTGGGATTTTGGGAATTCCAGGATTTGGGGATTTTGGGGATTTTGGAATTTGGGGAATTCTGGGATTGGGGAAATTTGGAATTCTGGGATTGGAGAATTTGGGAATTTGGGGAATTTTGGGAATATTGGTATTTGGGGAATTCTGGGATTGCAGAATTTTGGGAATAATGGGATTGGGGAATTCCAGGATTTGGGAATTTTGGGATTTGGGAGTTTGGGGAATCCTGGATTGGAGAATTCTGGGAATTTGGGGTTTTTGGGAATTCCAGGATTGGGGGATTCCGGGCATGCTGAATTCTGGGATTTGGGGATTTGGGAATTCCAGGAATCGGGAATTTTGGGAATTTTGGGAATTTTGGGATTTGGGAATTCCAGGATGTGGGAATTCTGTGAATTACGGGATTTGGGAATTTTGGGAATATTTGGTCTGGGGAATTCTGGGATTGGCGAATTTTGGGAATTCTGGGATTGGGGAATTTTGGGATTGGAGAATTCCAGATTTGGGAGTTTGGGGAATTCTGGGAATTTTGGGATTTGGGGGATTCCGGGCATGCCGAATTCTGGGATTTGGGAATTGGGGAATTCCAGGATTGCAGAATTTTGGGAATTTTGGGATCAGGGAATTTTGGGAATTCTGGATTTGGGAATTCCAAGATTCCGGGATTTGGGGAATTTTGGGATTTGAGAATTCCAGGATTTGGGAGTTTGGGAATTCCGGGATTTTGGGGCATTCCGGTCATTCCGGTTGGTTCCGTGTCCCCACCGTTCCATCTGTGTCCAGTGCCCGCACTCCTGGATGTGGCCGCGCTGCAGCCTCGGGATCTGCACGGGAGGGGACGGGAAAGGGCCCGGATGGAGCCGGAGCCTTCCAGAACCTTCTGGGACCTTCCAGAACCTTCCGGGACCTTCCAGAACCTTCTGGGACCTTCCAGGACCCTCCTGAACCTTCCAGAACCTTCCGGGACCTTCCGGGACCTTCCAGAACCTTCTGGGACCCTCCTGAACCTTCCGGGGACCCTCCTGAACCTTCCTGAACCTTCCTGGACCTTCCGGGACCTTCCTGAACCTTCCAGGACCCTCCTGAACCTTCCAGGACCTTCCGGGACCCTCCTGAACCTTCCAGAACCTTCCAGAACCTTCCGGGACCTTCCAGAACCTTCCAGGACCTTCCGGGACCCTCCTGGACCTTCCAGAACCTTCTGGGACCTTCAAGAACCTTCCAGAACCTTCCGGGACCCTCCTGAACCTTCCTGAACCTTCCGGGACCCTCCTGAACCTTCCTGAACCTTCCGGGACCCTCCTGAACCTTCCGGAACCTTCCGGGACCCTCCTGAACCTTCCTGAACCTTCCAGAACCTTCCAGAACCTTCCAGAACCTTCCGGGACCCTCCTGAACCTTCCGGGACCTTCCAGAACCCTCCTGAACCTCCCAGAACCTCCCGGGACCTTCCAGAACTTTCCCAATTTTTCCCCCCGTTTTTTCCCAATTTTTCCCCCATATTTTTCCTGTATTTTCCCCATATTTTCCCTTTTTTTCCTCATATTTTTCCGATTTTTCCCCCAATTTTTTCCCACATTTTCCCAATTTTTTCCCATTTTTCTCCCCGAATTTTCCCTTTTTTTCCATTTTTTCCCCAATGTTTCCCCCAATTTTTCCCCAATGTTTTCCCAATGTTTCCCCAATTTTTTTCCCATTTTTTCCCAATTTTTTTCCCATATTTTCCTGTATTTCCCCCATATTTTCCCCATATTTTCCCCATGTTTTTCCCCATATTTTTCCTATTTTTCCCCAATTTTTCCCAATTTTTTCCCCAAATTTTTCCCCATATTTTTCCCATTTTTCCCAATTTTTTCCCATTTTTTCCCCATTTTTTCCCAGTATTTTTCCCAATTTTTCCCATATTTTCCTGTATTTTTCCCATGTTTTTTCCCGGTTTTTCCCCAATTTTTTCCCATTTTTTCGCCAATATTTCCCCAATTTTTTCCCATATTTTCCCCCAATTTTTCCCCCATTTTCCCCCAATTTTTCCCCGTATTTTCCCATTTTTTCCCCCGTATTTTTCCCATTTTTTCCCCCGTATTTTTCCCATTTTTCCCCCGTATTTTTCCCATTTTGTCCCCCATTTTTTCCCCAATGTTGCCCCATTTTTTTCCCCAATGTTGCCCCATTTTTTCCCATTATTTCCCAATTTTTTCCCATTTTTTCCCCAATTTTTTCTCATTTTCGCCCCAATTTTTCCCCAATTTTTTCCCATTTTTTCCCCGTATTTTCCCCCACTTTTTTCCCCATTTTCCCCCAATTTTTCCCATTTTTTCCCCCGTATTTTTCCCATTTTGTCCCCCATTTTTTCCCCAATGTTGCCCCATTTTTTCCCCAATGTTGCCCCATTTTTTCCCAATTTTTTCCCATTTCCCCCCCCCAATTTTTTCCATTTTTTCCCCAATTTTTTCCCATTTTTTCCCCATATTTTCCCCAATTTTTTCCCATTTTTCCCCGTGTTTTCCCCCATTTTTCCCCCATTTTTCCCCAATTTTTTCCCATATTTTCCCCATGTTTTTCCCCATATTTTTCCTATTTTTCCCCAATTTTTTCCCTTTTTTCCCCAAATTTTTTCCCATTTTTCCCAATTTTTCCCATTTTTTCCCCATTTTTCCCCAATTTTTTCCCATTTTTTCCCCATATTTTTCCCAATTTTTTCCCATATTTTTCCCAATTTTTTCCCCCCATTTTTTCCCATTTTTCCCCGTATTTTCCCCCATTTTTCCCCCCATTTTTTCCCCACTTTTCCCCCAATTTTTTCCCATATTTTCCCCATTTTTCCCCAATTTTTTCCCATATTTTCCCCAATTTTTCCCCATTTTTTCCCCATATTTTCCCCAATTTTTTCCCATTTTTTCCCCATATTTTCCCCAATTTTTTCCCATTTTTTCCCTGTATTTTCCCCCATTTTTCCCCAATTTTTTCCCATTTTTCCCCGTATTTTCCCCCATTTTTCCCCCATTTTTTCCCCAATTTTTTCCCATTTTTTCCCCGTATTTTCCCCATTTTTCCCCATATTTTTCCCCCATATTTTCCCCAATTTTCCCCCAATTTCTTCCCCAATTTTCCCCCAATTTTTCCCCATTTTTCCCCCCATTTTTTCCCATTTTTCCCCCGTTTTTCCCCCATTTCTCCTCACCCCAGGTCTCCATGCTTTGCTCAGGCCGGGTTTCAGCACCGGATCCTCCCCGGCCGTCACCATCAGCGCCGGGATCGGGATCTGCCCCGGGAACCAACGGCAATTGGGGATCCCAGAGGGGGAAAATGGGAATTGGGGGATCCCGGGAGGATCTGGGGGATCCCAGAGGGGGATTTGGAGGATCCTGAGGGGGAAAATGGGAATTGGGGGATCCTGAGGGGATTTGGGGGGATCCCGAGGGGATCTGGGGGATCCAGGGGGGAGTTGGGGGATCTGGAGGGGATTTGGGGGATCCAGAGGGGAAAAAATGGGAACTGGGGGATCCTGAGGGGATTTGGGGCATCCTGAGGGGATTTGGGGGATCCCGAGGGGACTTGGGGGGATCCCGGGGGGATTTCGGGGATCCCGGGAGGATTTGGGGAATCCCAGAGGGGGAGAATGGGAACTGGGGGATCCTGAGGGGATTTGGGGGGATCCAGGGAAGACTTGAGGGATCCTGAGGGGGGAAAATGGGATTTGGGGGATCCTGAGGGGATTTGGGGGATCCAGGGGGGATTTCAGGGATCCTGAGGGGATTTGGGGGATCCTGAGGGAATCTGGGGGATCCCAGAGGGGGAAAAAATGGGATTTGGGTGATCCAGGGAGGATTTGGGGGATCCCAGAGGGGGAAAAATGAGATTTGGGGGATCCTGAGGGGATTTGGGGGATCCAGGGAAGACTTGAGGGATCCTGAGGGGGGAAAATGGGATTTGGGGGATCCTGAGGGGATTTGGGGGATCCTGAGGGGACTTGGGGGATCCAGGGGGGATTTCGGGGATCCCGGGAGGATTTCGGGGATCCTGAGGGGATTTGGGGGGTCTGGAGGGGATTTGGGGGATCCTGAGAGGATCCAGGGAAGATTTGAGGGATCCTGAGGGTATTTGGGGGATCCCAGAGGGGGGGGGGAGGAAAAATGGGAATTGGGGGATCCTGGGAGGATCTGGGGATCCTGAGGGGATTTGGGGGATCCCAGAGGGGATTTGGGGGATCCTGAGGGGGAAAATGGGATTTGGGTGATCCAGGGGGGAGTTGGGGGATCTGGAGGGGATTTGAGGGATCCTGAAAGAATCCAGGGAAGATTTGAGGGATCCTGAGGGGGGAAAATGGGATTTGGGGATCCCGGAGGGGATTTGGGGGATCCAGGGAAGACTTGAGGGATCCTGAGGGGGGAAAATGGGATTTGGGGGATCCTGAGGGAATTGGGGGATCCGGAGGGGATTTGGGGGATCCCGGGAGGATTTTGGGGATCCTGGGAGGATTTGGGGGATCCCGAGGGGATTTGGGGGATCCTGAGGGGATTTGGGGGGATCCTGAGGGGGAAAATGGGAACTGGGGGATCCTGACAGGATCCAGGGAAGATTTGGGGGATCCTGAGGGGATTTGGGGGATCCTGGGAGGATTTGGGGGATCTGGAGGGAATTTGGGGGGGTCCTGACAGGATCCAGGGAAGATTTGGGGGATCCAGGGAAGATTTGGGGGATCCTGGGAGATTTGAGGGATCAAGAGGAGGAAAAATGGGATTTGGGGGGTCCCTGAGGGGATTGGGGGGATCCAGGGGGGATTTGGGGGATCCTGAAAGAATCCAGGGAAGATTTGAGGGATCCTGAGGGGGGGGAAATGGGATTTGGGGGATCCTGAGGGGATTCGGGGGATCCGGGAGGATTTCGGGGATCCTGGGAGGATTTGGGGATCCTGAGGGGATTTGGGGGATCCTGAAAGAATCCAGGGAAGATTTGGGGGATCCCGAGGGGATCTGGGGGATCCTGAGGGGGAAAATGGGATTTGGGGATCCTGAGAGGATCCGGGGAAGATTTGGGGGATCCCGAGGGGATCTGGGGGTTCCAGAGGGGCTTTGGGGGATCTGGGGCGGGATCTGGGGGGGATCATGCCAGGATCCGGGGAGCATTCGGGGGACCCCGAGGGGATCCTGAGGAAATCTGGGGATCCAGACAAGATTCAATGGAGAAAATGGGACTGGGGGGATCCTGAAGGGATTTGGGGGATCCCGAGGGGATCTGGGGGATCCAGAAGGGGGAAAATGGGATCTGGGGGATCCTGAGGGGAGTTGGGGGATCCAGAGGGGATCTGGGAGATCCTGACTGGATCCAGGGAAGATTTGGGGGATCCTGAGGGGATTTGGGGGATCCTGAGGGGATTTTGGGGATCCCAGAGGGGGGAAAATGGGAATTGGGGGATCCTGGGAGGATTTGGGGGATCTGGAGGGAATTTGGGGGGTCCTGACAGGATCCAGGGAAGATTTTAGGGATCCTAAGGGGGGAAAATGGGATTTGGGGGATCCCAGGAGGATTTGGGGGATCCAGGGGGGAGCTGGGAGATCTGGAGGGGATTTGGGGGATCCTGACAGGATCCAGGGAAGATTTGGGGGATCCTGAGCAGGAAAATGGGATTTGGGGGATCCCAGAGGTGGAAAATGGGATTTGGGGGGTCCCGGGAGGATCTGGGGGATCCTGAGGGGATCCTGACAGGATCCTGGGGAATCCCAAGGGGATTTGGGAAATTTGGGGGATTTGGGGGTTCCAGGGGGCTTTGTGGGGTCCAGATGGGATTTGGGGGATCCAGAAAGGACAAATGGGATTTGGGGGGACCCAGAGGGGATCTGGGGGATCTGCTCAGGATTCGGGGGGGGGAAATGGGGGTTGGGGGATCCAGAGGGGATCCAGGTGGGACTGGGGGGATCCAGGCAGGATTCAGAGGAGCCAAATCGGGACCAGGAGCAGGATCGGGGTCGGGATCAGGATTGGGATCTGTTTGGGGATGGGGATCGGGGTGAGGATCAGGATTGGGATCAGTTTGGGGACGGGGATCAGCTCAAGGATCAGGATTGGGATCAGTTTGGGGATGGGGATCGGGTCAGGATCAGGGTCAGGATCCATTTGGGGATGGGGATGGGTTCGGGATCGTGTTCAGGGATCATTTTGGGACAGGGATCGGGGCTGGGATCAGGATTGGGATCAGTTTGGGGATGGGGATGGGTTTGGGATCGGGTTCAGGGATCATTTGGGATGGGGTCACCCCGCACCATCCGGCCCCTGGTGCTCAGGGCCCAGCTCAGGGATCAGGATTGGGATCAGGATTGGGATCAGGATGGGTTCAGGATCGTGTTCAGGGATCATTTTTGTGACAGGGATGGGTTCAGGGATCATTTTTGGGATCGGGTTCACTCTGCACTGTGCGGCCCCCTGGCACTCAGGGCCCAGCTCAGGGATCAGGATTGGGATCATTCAGGGATCATTTTTGGGACAGGGATCAGTCCAGGATCGTGTTCAGGGAACATTTTTGGGACAGGGATGGGTTCAGGATTGTGTTCAGGGATCATTTTTGGGATGGGGATCGGGTTTAATCCGCACCATCCGGCCCCTGGCGCTCAGGGATCAGGGCCAGGATCAGGATTGGGATCGTGTTTGGGGATCATTTTGGGGACAGGGATCGGTTCAGGGATCATTTTTAGGATGTGGGTGGGGCTCTCCCCTCACCGTGCGGCCCCTGGCACTCAGGGCCCAGCTCAGGGATCAGGGCTGGGATCATTTTGGGACAGGGATCAGTTCAGGGATCATTTTTGGGATGGGGATGGGTTCAGGATCAGGTTCAGGGATCATTTTTAGGATGGGGATCGGGGCCATGATCAGGGCCGGGATCAGGACTGGGATCAGGATTGGGGATGGGGATCTGGTTCAGTCTGCACCATCCGGCCCCTGACGCTCAGGATCAGGGCCAGGATTAGGGCTGGGATCAGGATTGGGATCAGGATTGGGATCAGTTTGGGGATGTGGATGGGTTTGGGATCGTGTTCAGGGATCATTTTTAGGCTCAGGGATGGGTTCAGGATCAGGTTCAGGGATCATTTTTGGATGGGGTTCACTCTGCACTGTCCTGGCCCTGGCACTCAGGGATCAGGGCCAGGATCAGGATTGGGATGGGGATTGGGATCATTATTGGGATGTGGATCAGTTCAGGATCATGTCCAGGGATCATTTTTTGGGCTGGGGCTCTCCCCTCACCGTGCGTCCCCTGGCGCTCAGGGCCCAGCTCAGGGATCAGGATTGGGATCAGGCTGGGATCATTTTGGGACAGGGATCAGTTCAGGGATCATTTTTGGGATGTGGATCGGGTTTGGGATCGGGTCAGGGATCATTTTTGGGATGTGGATGGGTTCAGGATTTTGTTCAGGGCTCATTTTTAGGACGTGTATTGGGTTCTCCCCTCACCGTGCGTGCCCCGGCGCTCAGGGCCCAGCTCAGGGATCAGGGCTGGGATCAGGATTGGGATCAGGATTGGGATGTGGATGGGTTCAGGATCGTGTTCAGGGATCATTTTGGGGACAGGGATGGGTTCAGGATCATTTTTGGGATGTGGATGGGTTCAGGATCAGGTTCAGGGCTCATTTTAGGGACAGGGATCGGTTCAGGGATCATTTTTGGGATCGGGCTCTCCCCTCACCGTGCGTCCCCTGGCGCTCAGGGATCAGCTCAGGGATCAGGATTGGGATCAGTTTGGGACAGGGATCAGTTTGGGATCATTTTTTGGGGCAGGGATTGGTTCAGGGCTCATTTTAGGGACAGGGATCATGTTCAGGGATCATTTTTGGGGACAGGGATCAGTTTGGGATCATTTTTGGGCTGGGGCTCTCCCCTCACCGTGCGTCCCCTGGCGCTCAGGGCCCAGCTCAGGGATCAGGGCTGGGATCATTTTGGGACAGGGATCAGTTCAGGGATAATTTTTGGGGCAGGGATCAGTTCAGGGACCATTTTGGGACAGGGATCAGTTCAGGGATCATTTTTGGGACAGGGATCAGTTTGGGCTCATTTTAGGGCTGGGGCTCTCCCCTCACCGTGCGTCCCCTGGCGCTCAGGGCCCAGCTCAGGGATCAGGATTGGGATCAGGGCTGGGATCATTTTGGGACAGGGATCGGTTCAGGGCTCGTTTTAGGGACAGGGATCAGTTTGGGATCATTTTTGGGACAGGGATCAGGTTCAGGGATCATTTTTGGGACGTGGATGGGGCTCTCCCCTCACCGTGCGTCCCCTGGCGCTCAGGGCCCAGCTCCAGTTCTCCCTCACGTTCCTGGTACCAGTTCAGGGCCCCCCTGGGAACGCCCGCAATGAGCCCGGGATGGGGATCCAGGGGTAGGGATCCCAGGGTAGGAATCCAGGGGATCAGGGGTGGATCCCGGGGCGGATCCCGGGGTAGGGATCCCAGGGCTGATCCCAGGGGCGGATCCCGGGGCAGGGATCCCGTGTTTCCCACCTGAAGCCGGCCTTGCGGAACTGCCGCGTGTAATGCTCCAGCACGGCCGGGGGCAGCAGGCCGCTCTCGGGGGGATCCTCGGGGAGCCCCGCCAGGAGCCCCCCTGCAAACACAGGGATCCACCAGATCCCAAGGGATCCACACAGGGCCCTCAGGACCCCACTGGGATCCCCAAGGATTCCCCCGTTCCCAGGGGATTCCCCCAGGGTTCCCCCGTTCCCAGGGGATTCCCCAAATCTCAGAGGATTCCCCCCCACCAGATCCCAAGGGATCCCCCCCAGATTCCCAGGAATTCCCCAAATCCAGCAGGATCCCCCACATTCCCAGAGGATTCCCCCATTTCCAGAGGAAACCCCTAATCCCAGGGGATCCCCCATTCCTGGAATCCCCTAAATCCCACAGGATCCCCCATTCCCAGAATCCCCCATTCCCATGGGATCCTCCATTCCCAGGATCCCCAAAATCCCAGGGGACACCCACCCCCCACCCCCCCCCACTCCCAAGGGATCCCCCAAATCCCAGGATCCCCCTCAAATCCCAGGGCATCCCCCAATCCCAGAATCCCCCATTCCCACAGAATCCCCCATCCCTGTAATCCCCTAAATCCCACAGGATCCCCCATTCCCAGAATCCCCCAACCTAGAATCCCCTAAATCCCACAAGATCCCCATTCCCAGGGGATCTCCCATTCCCACAGGATCCCCAAACCCAGAATCCCCCAAACCCCACAGGATCCCCCATTCCCACGGGATCCCCCATTCCCACGGGATCCCCATGCCCAGAATCCCCCATTCCTGGAATCCCCCATTTTCAGAGGATCCCCAATCCCAGAATCCCCCATTCCCAGGGCATCCCCCCCATTCCCAGGGGATCCCCAATCCCAGAATCCCAGGGGATCCCCCGATCCCAGGGATCCCCTAAATCCCACAGATTTCTCAAATCTCAGGGGATTCCCCATTCCCACAGGATCCCCCAATCCCAGAATCCCCCATTCCCTAAATCCCACAGAATTCTCCCAAATCCCAGGGGATCCCTCATTCCCAGGATCCCCGAATCCCAGGGGACACCACACACACACACATCCCCCCCCATTCCCAAGGGATCCCCCAAATCCCACAGGATCCCCAAATCCCAGGGAATCCCCAAATCCCACAGGACCCCCCCCATTCCCAGGGGATCCCCCATTCCCAGGAACCCCCTAATCCCAGAATCCCCCATTTCCAGAGGAAACCCCAAATCCCACAGGATCCCCCAATTCCTGGGTTCCCCCATTCCCAGGGGATCTCCCATTCCCACAGGATCCCCATTCCCAGGGGATCCCCCATTCCCAGAATCCCCTAAATCCCACAGGATCCCCCAATCCCAGAATCCCCCAGTCCTGGAATCCCCCCCATTCCCAGGGGATCCCCCCCGATCCCAGGGGATCCCCAATCCCAGGGATCCCAGGGATCCCCGTGTTCCCGACCTCTCTCCCGGACGCGCCGCAGGTCGAGCTTCACTGGGAGCCGATCCTGCGGGATCGGGGATCAAACCCCAAGGGATTGGGGGACGCCGGGGCACGGAGCCCAGAAACCCCAGGAATTCCAGGGGATCCCGGGTCGGGATCGTGTTCAGGGATCATTTTGGGATGGGGATGGGTTTGGGATCGGGTCCCGGATCCCAATTCCAGTCCCGATCCCAATCCCAATTTTGATCCCGATCCCGATCCCAATCCCATTCTGTATTCTGATCCCGATCCCGATCTCAATTCTTGTCCTGATCCCAAACCTGATCCCAACCCGAACCCCGATCCCAACCCTGATCCCAATCCCATCCCATTCCCCATCCCGATCCCAACCCTGATCCCAATCCCATCCCATTCCCCATCCTGATCCCGAACCCGATCCCGATCCTACTCCAAATCCCGTTCTTAATCCAAACCCCGATCCCGATCCCATTCCCACTCCAACTCCAATCCCAACCCCAATCCAAACCCAATCCCAATCCCAAACCCAATCCCATTCCCGTTCTCGATCCCAATCCTCATCCTGATCCCCAACCTGATCCCAATCCCATCCCGACCCCGATCCCGATCCCAACCCAAATGGAAATCCCATTCCCAACCCCAACCCCAATCCAAGCCCAATCCCATTCCCGTTCTCGATCCCAATCCTCATCCTGATCCCGATCCCATCCCAATCCCAACCCCAATCCCTTCCCAATCCAACCCTATCCCAATCCCAACCCAAATGGAAATCCCATTCCCGGCCCCGACCCCAATCCCATCCCAATCCTGATCCTGTCCCTCAACTCGATCCCAATCCCAATCCCCAATCCCCAATCCCAATCCCTCAACCCAATCCCAATCCCATCCCAATCCCAATCCCGATCCCAAATCCCAGATCCCGATCCAAATTCCATTCATGATCCCATCCCCAATCCCGATCCTCATCCTGATCCCCAACCTGATCCCGATCCCAACCTGATCCCAACCCCAATCCCAATCCCAATCCCATCCCAATCTTGATCCTGTCCCTCAACCCAATCCCAATCCCGATCCCAATCCCAACCCTGATCCCAATCCCATTCTTGATCCCAATCCTCATCCTGATCCCCAACCTGATCCCGATCCCATCCTAATCCCAACCCCAATCCCATCCCAATCCCAATGGAAATCCCATTCCCGACCTCCCAATCCCATCCTGATCCTGATCCTGTCCCTCAACCCAATCCTGATCCCCAATCCCGATCCCCAATCCCAATCCAAATTCCATTCCCGATCCCATCCCCAATCCTCATCCTGATCCCGATCCCAACCTGATCCCAACTCCAATCCCATCCCAATCCGAATGGAAATTCCAATCCCGACCCCGATCCCATCCCCATTCCCAATCCCATCCCATCCCATTTCGAATGGAAATCCCATTCCCGACCCCAATCCCAATCCCATCCCAATCTTGATCCTGTCCCTCAACCCGATCCCATCCCAATCCCATCCCCAACCCCAATCCCATTGCCGATCCCCATCCCAATGGAAATCCCAATCCCGACCTCAATCCCGACCCCAACCCAAATCCCAACCTTGATCCCAACCCCAATCTCGATCCCATCCCAATCCAACCCCATCCCAACCCCAACCCCAATCCCATTCCTGACCTCAATCCCAATCCCCAATCCCATCCCCGATCCAATCCTGATCCCAACCCCAATCCCATTGCCGACCTCAATCCCAATCCCCAATCCCATCCCCGATCCCAGATCCCAATCCCGATCCCATCCCCGATCCCAATCTTGATCCTGCCCTTCAACCCAATCCTGATCTCCAATCCCATTCCCAATCCCATCCCCAATCTCGATCCCGATCCCGAATCCTGAATCCCGATCCCGATCCCCAATCCCGATCCTATTCCCATTCCCGATCCCAAATCCCAATCCCAGATCCCGAATCCCGAATCCCGATCCCGATCCCCAATCTCGATCCTATTCCCATTCCCGATCCCGAATCCCGATCCCGATCCCCAATCTCGATCCTATTCCCATTCCCGATCCCAAATCCCGATCCCAATCCCATCCCAATCCTGATTCTGTCCTTCAACCCAATCCTGATCCTCAATCCTGATCCCCAATCCCGATCCTGATCCCGATCCCAACCCCAATCCCATCCCCAATCCCGTTCCCGATCCCAATCCCCAGTCCTGATCCCGATCCCATTCCCGGTCCTCAATCCCGATCCCCAGTCCCCGATCCCCAATCGCAATCCCCAATCCCAGATCCCGATCCCCAATCCCGATCCTATTCCCATTCCCGATCCCAAATCCCGATCCCAACCCCATCCCAATCCTGATCCTGTCCTTCAACCCAATCCTGATCCTCAATCCCGATCCTGATCCCGGTCCCAAATCCCAGATCCCGATCCTGATCCCATTCCCGGTCCTCAATCCCGATCCCCAATCCCCAATCCCATCCCCATTCCCGATCCCGATCCCCAATCCCAATCCCGGATCCCAGATCCCAATCCCAATCCCCAATCCCATCCCCATTCCCGATCCCAATCCTATTCCCTATCCTGATCCCCAATCCTGATCCCAATCCCATCCCCAATCCCAACCCCAATCCCGGTCCCAAATCCCAGATCCCGATCCCGATCCCATTCCCGGTCCTCAATCCCGATCCCCAATCCCCAATCCCAATCCCGGATCCCCAATCCCAGATCCCCAATCCCCAATCCCAATCCCGATCCCGATCCCATTCCCGGTCCTCAACCCCAATCCCAGATCCCCAATCCCAATCCCAGATCCCCGGTCCCCAATCCCAATCCCAGATCCCAAATCCCCGATCCCGGATCCCGGGATCACCTCGGGCCGGGAGGATCGGATCAGGATCTTGAGGGTTCTCCCGATGTCCTTCTCCAGCTCCGCCTCCGCCACGCCCTGGAACCCCGGGAAAAACCCCAAAAACACCGGGATCGACCCCAAAAATAACAGACATGAGATCGGGGCTGGGATCGGGATCAGGGATCTGGGATCTGGGATGTGGGATCTGGGATGTGGGATCTGGGGTTTGGGGTTTGGGGATTTGGGGGATTTGGGGAATTTGGGGGATTTGGGGATTTTTGGGATCTGGGATCAGGGATTTGGGGATTTTTGGGGATTCAGGGTTTGGGGTTTAGGATGAGGGATTTGGGATTTTTTGGGATTTGGGGATATGGGATCTGGGATTTGGGATCAGAGATTTGGGATTTTTTTGGGATTAGGGATTTGGGATCGGGGATTTGGGGATTTTTTGGGATTCAGGATCTGGGGTTAGGATCAGGAATTTGGGGATTTTTGGGGTTCAGGATTTGGGATCAGGTATTTGGGATTTTTTGGGGATTCAGGATTTAGGATTTGGGGTTTAGGATCAGGGATTTGGGATTTTTTGGGAGTCAGGATTTGGGGTTTTGGATTTGGGATCAGGAATTTGGGGATTTTTTGGGATTTAGGATTTGGGATCTGGGATTTGGCATCAGGGATTTGGGATTTTTTGGGATTCAGGATCTGGGGTTTAGGATCAGGAATTTGGGGATTTTTGGGGTTTAGGATTTGGGGTTTGGGATCAGAGATTTGGAGATTTTTTTTTGGGATTCAGAGTTTGGGGTTTGGGGTTTAGGATCAGGAATCTGGGATTTTTTGAGGTTTTGGATTCGGCATCTGGGATTTGGGGATTTGTTGGGATTTAGGATTTGGGATCTGGCATCAGGAATTTGGGGATTTTTTGGGATTCACGATTTGGGGTTTGGGGTTTAGGATCAGGGATCTGGGATTTGGGGATTTTTTAGGATTCGGGGTTTGGGGTTTAGGATGAGAAATTTGGGATTGTTTGGGATTTAGGATTTGGGATTTGGGATCAGGGATTTGGGATTTTCTGGAATTCAGGATTTGGGATTTGGGGTTTAGGATCAGGGATTTGGGATTTTTGGGAGATTTAGGATTCAGGGTTTGGGGTTTAGGATCTGGAATTTGGGGATTAGGATCTGGGATTCGGGATTTTTTGGGATTCAGGATTTGGGGTTTTGGATTTGGGATCTGGGATTTGGGGATTTTCTGGGATTCAGGATTTGGGGTTTAGGAGCAGGAATTTGGGGATTTTTGGGGATTTGGGATTTGGGGTTTGGGATCTGGGATTTGGGATCTGGGATTCGGGGTTTGGGGTTTGGGGTTTTGGATCAGGGGATTTGGGATCAGGGATTTGGGGATTTGGGTTTTGGGGAATTTTGGGATTTTTGGGATTTGGGGATTTTTGGGATTTGGGGTTTTTTTTTTTTTGGATTCAGGGTTTGGGGTTTAGGATCAGGGATTTGGGGATTTTTTGGAATTTAGGATTTGGGATCTGGGACCAGTAATTTGGGATTTTTGGGGATTTAGGATTTGGGGTTTAGGATCAGGGATTTCGGATTTTTTGGGATTTGGGGTTTGGGGTTTAGGGTCAGGAATTTGGGGATTTTTGGAGTTTAGGATTTGGGGTTTGAGATCAGGGATTTGGGATTTTTTGGGATTCAGGATTTGGGATCTGGGATTTGGGATTTTTTGGGGATTCAGGATTTAGGATTTGAGGTTTAGGATCAGGAATTTGGGATTTTTTGAGATTCAGGATTTGGGGTTTTGGATTTGGGATCAGGAATTTGGGGATTTTTTGGGGTTCAGGATTTGGGGTTCGGGATCAGGAATTTGGGGATTTTCTGGGGTTCAGGATCAGGAATTTGGGATTTTTCGGGGTTCAGGATTTGGGATCAGGGATTTGGGATTTTTTCTGGGATCAGGGATTTGGGATTTTTTCGGGGTTCAGGATTTGGGGTTTAGGATCAGAAATTTGGGGATTTTATGGGATTCAGAGTTTGGGTTTTGGGGTTTAGGGTCAGGAATTTGGGGATTTTTGGGGATTTGGGGTTCGGGATTCAGGATTTGGGGATTTTTTGGGATTCAGAATTTGGGGTTCAGGATGAGGAATTTGGGGATTTTTTTGGGGTTCAGGATTTGGGATTTTCTGGGATTCAGGATTTGGGGTTCAGGATGAGGGATTTGGGATTTTCTGGGGTTCAGGATTTGGGGTTTAGGGTCTGGAATTTGGGGATTGTTTGGGGTTCAGGGTTTGGGATTTTTTGGGGTTCAGGATTCGGGGTTCAGGATTTGGGATTGTTCTGGGGTTCAGGATTTGGGATTGTTTTGGGGTTCAGGATTTGGGATTTTTGGGGTTCAGGATTTGGGATTTTCCTGGGGTTCAGGATTTGGGATTTTTGGGGTTCAGGGCTGGTGTCTCACGGGCTCCTGGAAGTAGAGCTGGTACTCGAACTCGGGGATGCGGCTCAGCCTCTCCAGGGCGTCGGAGCCGGGCTCGGGCGGCCGGAATGGGGTGTTCAGAACGGCCACGGCCCTGCAGGAAACAGCGGGAACAAAAATTCAGGATTCCGGAATTCCGGGAATTCCAGGGATTTTTTTGGGATTTCTTTTGGGGTTTTTTTGATTTTTTTTGGGATTTTTTTAGGGTTTTTTGGGGTTTTTTTGGGATTTCTTTTGTTTTTTTTTTTTTTTATTTTTGGGGGATTTTTTGGGATTTCTTTTGGGGGTTTTTTTGGGGATTTTTTGGGGGTTTTTTTGGGGGTTTTGGTTTTTTTGGGGGGATTTCTTTGGGGTTTTTTTTTATTTTTTGGGGATTTCTTTTGGGTTTGGTTTTTTTTTTTTTTTTTTTGGGGGGGGGTTTGGGATTTTTTTGGGTTTTCTTTTGGGTTTTTTTTTTTTTTGGGGGGGGGATTTTTTTGGGATTTCTTTTGGGTTTTGTTTTTTTGGGGGGGGATTTCTTTTGGGGTTTTTTTTTTTGAGATTTTTTTGGTTTTTTTTGATTTTTTTGGGATTTCCTTTGGGGGTTTTTTGGGGTTTTTTTGGGGATTTCTTTTGGGGTTTTTCTGATTTTTTTGGGGATTTTTTGGGGTTTTTTTGATTTTTTGGGCTTTCTTTTGGGTTTTTTGGGGTTTTTTTGGGATTTCCTTTGGGGTTTTTTTTTTATTTTTTGGGGATTTTTTGGGATTTCTTTTGGGGTTTTTTGGGGGGGATTTTTTTGGGTTTTTTTGGGGATTTTTTTTGGGGATTTCTTTTGGTTTTTTTTTTATTTTTTGGGATTTCTTTTGGGTTTTCTTTTTATTTTTTTGGGATTTCTTTTGGGGTTTTTTGGGGGGATTTTTTTGGGGTTTTTTGGAGATTTTTTTGGGATTTCTTTGGGGTTTTTTTGATTTTTTGGGGATTTTTTTGGGATTTCTTTTGGGTTTTTTGGGGTTTTTTTGGGATTTCTTTTGGGGTTTTTTTGATTTTTTTGGGATTTCTTTTGGGTTTTTTTAATTTCTTTTGGGTTTTTTTTTTTATTTTTTTGGGATTTCTTTTGGGGTTTTTTTGGGATTTTTTTGGGATTTTTTGGGGTTTTTTTGATTTGATTTGGGATTTCTTTTGGGGTTTTTTTGATTTTTTTGGGATTTTTTTGGGGTTTTTTGGGGTTTTTTTGGGATTTCTTTTGGGTTTTTTTAATTTCTTTTGGGCTTTTTTTTGATTTTTCGGGATTTCTTTTGGGGTTTTTTTTTTATTTTTTTGGGGCTTTTTTTGGGATTTCTTTTGGGGTTTTTTTAATTTTTTGGGGATTTCTTTTGCGTTTTTTTTGTGTTTTTTTTTTTGGGGGGATTTTTTTGGGATTTCTTTTGGGGTTTTTTTTATTTTTTGGGGGTTTTTTTGGGGGGATTTTTTTGGGTTTTTTTGGGGGGTTTTTTTGGGGATTTTGTTGGTTTTTTGGGGGGATTTTTTTGGGGATTTCTTTTGGGTTTTTTTGGAGATTTTTTTGGGATTTCTTTTGGGGATTTTTTTGATTTTTTTGGGATTTCTCTTGGGTTTTTTGGTTTTGTTTTTTTTTTTGATTTCTTTTGGGTTTTTTTTTATGTTTGGGGGATTTTTTTGGGATTTCTTTTGGGGATTTTTTTGATTTTTTTGGGATTTCTTTTGGGTTTTTTGGGTTTTTTTGGGGGATTTCTTTAGGGTTTTTTTTTATTTTTTGGGGATTTTTATGGGATTTCTTTTAGGTTTTTTTATTTTTTGGGGATTTTTTTGGGATTTCTTTTGGGGTTTTTTTTGGGGGGGATTTTTTTGGGTTTTTTTGGGGATTTTTTTTGGGATTTCTTTTGGGGTTTTTTTGATTTTTTTGGGATTTCTTTTGGGTTTTTTTTTTTTTTTTTTGGGATTTCTTTTGGGTTTTTTTTTATTTTTTTGGGATTTCTTTTGGGGTTTTTTTGGGGGGGGGGTTTGATTTTTTTGGGGATTTTTTTGGGATTTCTTTTGGGGTTTTTTTTTGGGGGGGTTTTTTTTTGGTTTTTTGGGGGATTTTTTTGGGATTTCTTTTGGGGTTTTTTTTATTTTTTGGGGTTTTTTTGGGATTTCTTTTGGGGTTTTTTTTTATTTTTTTGGGATTTCTTTTGGGTTTTTTTTTTTGGGGGGGGGATTTTTTTGGGATTCCTTTTGGGGTTTTTTTTTTTTTTTGGGGGGGGATTTCTTTTGGGGTTTTTTTTTGGGGATTTTTTTTTGGTTTTTTGGGGATTTTTTTGGGATTTCTTTTGGGGGTTTTTTTTGGGATTTTTTTTTTATTTTTTGGGGATTTTTTTGGGATTTCTTTTGGGGGTTTTCCAGGTCCCGGCCTCACCGGATGCGCTCGGGGTAGAACAGAGCCAGGTTCCAGGCCATGGCCCCGCCCCAGTCGTGGCCAATCAGGATCACCTGCGGGATTCCCTGCGGGGAGGAGACAAATCCCAAAAAAATCCCCCCAAAAAAATCACCCGAAAAATCCCCCAAGACCCCCGAAGGCGCAGACACCAAAAATGCCAAATCCCGAAAAACCCAGATCCCGAAAATCCCAAATCCCCAAAAATCACAGATCCCAAATCCCAAAAATCCCAAAACTCCCCTGAAATCCCCAAAGGCGCAGACACCAAAAATTCCAAATCCCAAAACTCAGATCCCAAACCCCAAATCCCCAATCCCAAATCCCAAAAAAACCCAAATCCCTAAAACCCCAAAACCCCCCAAATCCTAAACCCCAAAACCCCAAATCCCAATTCCAAATCCCCCAAAATCCCCAAAAATCCCCAAAATCCCCAATGTCACAGACACCAAAAATCCCCAAATCCCAAAACTCAGATCCCAAATCCCAAATCCCAAACCCCCCAAATCCCAAACACCAAATCCTAAAGCCCAAAATCCCAAATCCCAATTCCAAATCCCAAAAACACCCAAAAAAATCAAAAAAAAATCCCCCAAAATCCCCAAAGTCGCAGATCCCAAAAATTCCCAAAACCCAGATGCCAAGTCCCAAACCCCAGATCCCCAATCCCATATCCTGAAAAATCTGAAAAGTCCCAAAAATCCCAATCCCCAAAATCCCCAAAAATCCCAAAAATCCCCAAAATCCCCAAAAATCCGAAAAATCCCAAAAATCCGAAAAATCCCAAAAATCCGAAAAATCCCAAAAATCCCAAACCCTAAACCCCAAATCCCAATTCCAAATCCCCAAAATCCCCAAAAATCCCCAACCCCAAAATCCCAGATCCCAAACCCCAAAAACCCCAAAAACCCCAAAAATCCCAAATCCTCACCAGTTTATCCAGGAAGGTGATGAAATCCTGGGAAAAGGACGGGACCCGGATCAGCGGGGTCAATGGGATCGGGATCAGTGGGGTCAATGGGATTGGGATCAGTGGGGTCAGATTGGGATCATTGGGGTCAATGGGATCAGATCGGGATTGGGATCATCGGGATCAGGCCCCATTAGGATCGGGATCAGCAGGATCGGGATCAGTGGGATCGGGATCATTGGGGTCAGATTGGGATCATTGGGATTGGGATCACATCAGGATCGGGATCAGTGGGGTCAATGGGATCAGGCCCCGTTGGGATTGGGATCATGGGGGTCAGATTGGGATCAATGGGGTCAATGGGATCAGATCGGGATCATTGGGATCATTGGGATCAGGATCAGGCCCCGTTGGGATCGGGATCAGTGGGGTCAGATTGGGGTCACTGGGATCATTGGGATCACATCGGGATTGGGATCAGTGGGGTCAATGGGATCAGATCGGGATCATTGGGATCATTGGGATCGGGATCAATGGGGTCAGATTGGGATCAATGGGATTGGGATCAGATCGGGATCGGGATCAATGGGGTCAATGGGATCAGGCCCCATTGGGATTGGGATCATTGGGGTCAGATTGGGATCACTGGGATCAACGGGATCAGATCGGCATCGGGATCATCGGGATCAGATCCCATTGGGATCGGGATCAATGGGGTCAGATTGGGATCAGTGGGATTGGGATCACATCGGGATTGGGATCATCAGGGTCAATGGGAACGGGATCAGAGGGATCGGGATCAGGCCCCGTTGGGATTGGGATCAATGGGGTCAGATTGGGATCACTGGGATCAACGGGATCAGATCGGCATCGGGATCATCGGGATCAGATCCCATTAGGATCGGGATCAGTGGGATCGGGATCAGACCCCGTTGGGATCAGGATCAATGGGGTCAGATTGGGATCAATGGGATTGGGATCAGATCGGGATTGGGATCACTGGGGTCAATGGGATCAGATCGGGATCATTGGGATCAGCGGGATCGGGATCAGATCCCATTAGGATCAGGATCAATGGGGTCAGATTGGGATCAATGGGATCAATGGGATCACATCGAGATTGGGATCAGTGGGGTCAATGGGATTGGGATCAATGGGGTAAGATTGGGATCAATGGGATTGGGATCACATCGGGATTGGGATCATTGGGGTCAATGGGATCAGATCGGGATCATTGGGATCAGCGGGATCGGGATCAGGCCCCATTGGGATCAGGATCAGTGGGATCGGGATCAGGATCAGACTGGGATCAATGGGATTGGGATCACATTGGGACTGGGATCATTTGGATCAGATCCCATTGGGATTGGGATCAGCGGGATTGGGATCAGGATCTGAGTGGGATCAGATTGGGATCAGCAGGGTCAGGGTCAGATCCCATCAGGATTGGGATCAGTGGAATTGGGATCAGGATCAGATTGGGATCAATGGGATTGGGATCACATTGGGACTGGGATCATTGGGATCAGATCACATCGGGATTGGGATCAGCGGGATCGGGATCAGGATCAGATTGGGATCAGATTGGGATCAGCAGGATCAGGGTCAGATCCCATCAGGATTGGGATCAGTGGAATTGGGATCAGGATCAGATTGGGATCATTTGGATTGGGATCACATTGGGACTGGGATCATTGGGATCAGATCCCATTAGGATTGGGATCAGTGGAATTGGGATCAGACCCCATTGGGATCACTGGGATCAGATTGGGATCACTGGGATCATTGGGGTTCATTGGGATCTCATTGGGATCTCATTGGGATCATTGGGATCCCCTTGGGATTGGCCCCTCCCAGCCCTGGAATCCCCAAAATTCCCCAAAATTCCCCAAAATTCCCCATTCCCCAACCCCACCCCTGCTCACCTTGCAGATCTGTTCCTGGGAATATTCCGAGATCTCTGTGGAGAAAGAATTCCCAGAGTTTCTTTTCCATGGATTTTTTCCCATGAAATTTTCTTCCAGGATTTTTTTTCCCATTTTTCCCCCCAATTTTTTCCCAATGTGGTTTTTTTTTCCCTTTATTTTTCCCCACAATTTTTCCCTTTTTTTCCCCATTCTTTTTTCCCAATGTGGTTTTTTCCCTTCATTTTCCCCTTTTTTCCCCACTATTTTTTCCCTTTTTTTCGCATTCTTTTTTTCCCATGTGATTTTATCCCTTTATTTTTTCCTCACAATTTTTTCCCTTTTTTTTTCCATTCTTTTTTCCCAACGTGTTTTTCTTTTCCCTCTATTTTTCCCTTTATTTTTTTTCCCTTTATTTTTTCCCTTTTTTTTTCCATTATTTTTTTCCAATGTGGTTTTTTCCGCTTTATTTTTTCCCTTTTTCCCTTTATTTTTTTCCTCACAATTTTGCCCCAGTAATTTTTGCCATCATTTTTTCCCCCCATGGCTCCATCCCCAGACCCTTCCCAGGAGCACAAAATCTCCTGGAAGATCCCATGAAGATTCCCAAAATTCCCAATCCCATCCCAAAAATCCCAATCCCATCCCAAAAATCCCAATCCCATCCCAGAATTCCCAATCTCGTTATTAATTTCTGTCGCAACCCTTGTTTTTAATTCCCGTTTTTAATTCCCGTTATCAATTCCTGTTATTAATTCCCATTGTTATTAATTCCCATTGTTATTAATTCCCGTTGTTATTAATTCCCACTGTTATTAACTCCTATTGTTATCAATTCCCGTTATTCATTCCCATGGTTATTAATTCCCGTCGTAACCCTTGGTTTTAATTCCCGGTTTTAATTCCTATTGTTATGAATTCCCATTGTTATTAACTCCCATTGTTATCAATTCCCGTTATTAATTCCCATTGTTATTAATTCTCATTATTAATTTCTGTTGCAACCCCTGGTTTTAATTCCCATTATTAATTTCCATTGTTTTTAATTCCCGTTAATAATTCACATTATTATTAACTCCCATTGTTATTAATTCCCATTATTAATTCCCATTGTTATTAATTCCTGTTAATAATTCCCATCGTTATTATTTCCCGTTATCAATTACTGTTACCAATTCCCATTGTTATTAACTCCCGTTATTAATTCCCATTATTAATTTCTGTCGCAACCCCTGGTTTTAATTCCCATTTTTAATTCCCATCGTTATTAATTCCCGTTATCAATTCCCTTTGTTATCAATTCCCGTTGTTATCAATTCCCGTTATTAACTCCCATTGGTATTAACCCCTATTGCTATTAATTCCTGTTTTTAATTCCTATTGTTATCAATTCCCGCAGTTATCAATTCAATTCCCTTCCCACCATTATCAATTCAATTCCCATCGTTATCAATTCCCATCATTATCAATTCAATTGCCGCCATTATCAATTCCCATCGTTATCAATTCCCATCGTTATCAATTCCCGCCGTTCGTTATCAATTCCTGCTGTTCGTTATCAATTCAATTCCCATTGTTATCAATTCAATTCCTTTCCCCGCCATTGGTTATCAATCCCCGCTGTTATCAATCCCCACCATCGTTATCAGCTGTTCCCCCCCCATGGTTTATCAGCAGTTCCCCCCCCCCCCCGCCCCGCGGTTTATCAGCTGCAGTTTCCCCCCCCTGCAGTTCCGGTCTCTCACCGCTGGGGGCGCTGCTGTCCCCGTACCCTTTCATGTCCAGGGCGAGCACGCGGAACCCGGCCCGGGCCAGGGGCACCAGCTGGGGGGGGGAGGGGGGATCCACAGCGTCTGAGAGGGGGGAGCGCCCCGGGATCCCCCCCAGATCCCCCCACAGATCCCCCCAGATCCCCCCAGATCCCCACAGATCCCCCCAGATCCCCGGGATCCCCACAGCCTTGGAGGGGGAGGAGGGAGCGCCCCAGGATTCCTGGGATCCTCCCCCAGATCCTGCCTGATCCCTGCACATCCCGCCCAATCCCTGGGATCCCCCACATCCCGCCCGATCCCTGGATCCCGGCACATCCCACTTGATCCCTGAGATCCCTGCCCGATCCCCAGGATCCCTGCACACCCCGCCCGATCGCTGGGATCCCCACAGCCTTGGAGGGGGGAGCGCCCGATCCCTGGGATCCCCCACATCCCGCCCGATCCCCGGATCCCGGCACATCCCACCTGATCCCCACACACCCCGCCCGATCCCCGGCATTCCCGGCACATCCCAGCCAATCCCTGGGATCCCCACCCATCCCGCCCGATCCCTGGGATCCCCCACACCCCGCCTGACCCAGGGATCCCTGCCCAATCCCTGGGATCCCCCCAGATCCCACCCGATCCCCAGAATCCCCCGCCCATCCCACCTGATCCCTGGGATCCCGCGCATCCCGCCCGATCCCCGGCATTCCCGGCACACCCCGCCCGATCCCTGGGATCCCCACACACCCCACCCGATCCCCAGGATCCCCAGCATTCCCCACACATCCCAGCCAATCCCCGGGATCCCCCACATCCTGCCTGATCCCCGGGATCCCCCCAGATCCCCAGCATTCCCAGCATTCCCAGCCAATCCCCAGGATCCCCGCACACCCCGACCGATCCCTGGATCCCCCCGCATCCCACCTGATCCCCAAGATCCCCACACACCCCACCCAATCCTGGGGATCCCCACACACCCCGCCCGATTGCCGGCATTCCCGGCACATCCCAGCCAATCCCCAGGATCCCCCCAGATCCCTGGGATCCCTGCACACCCTGCCCGATCCCCGGGGTCCCCGCACACCCCACCCGATCCCTGGGATCCCCACAGATCCCTGCCATTCCCAGCACACCCCGGCTGATCCCTGGGATTCCCCCATACCCCACCTGATCCCAGGGATCCCCGTGCATCCTGGCCAATCTCCCTGGGATCCCCCCAGATCCTGCCCGATCCCTGCCATTCCCAGCACACCCCACCTGATTACCGGGATCCCCCCAGATCCCTGGCATTCCCGGCACACCCCGCCCGATCCCCGGGATCCCCGCGCATCCCAGCCGATCCCCGGGATCCCCCACACCCCGCCTGACCCAGGGATCCCCGCCCAATCCCTGGGATCCCCCCAGATCCCACCCGATCCCCAGAATCCCCGCCCATCCCACCTGATCCCTGGGATCCCCCACATCCCGCCCGATCCCCAGGATCCCCGCCCGATCCCCGGCATTCCCGGCACACCCCGCCTGATCCCCAGGATCCCCCCAGATCCCCGGCATTCCCCACACATCCCAGCCAATCCCCGGGATCCCTGCCCATCCCACCTGATCCCTGGGATCCCCCGCACCCCGCCCGATCCCCAGGATCCCCGCCTGATCCCCGGCATTCCCCGCACACCCCGGCCGATCCCCGGGATCCCAGCACACCCTGCCCGATCCCCAGGATCCCCACACATCCCACCTGATCCCAGGGATCCCCATGCATCCCGTCCGATCTCCCCGGGATCCCCCACATCCCGCCCGATCCCCAGGATCCCCACAGATCCCCGGCATTCCCAGCACACCCCACCCGATCCCCCGGGATCCCGGGATCATTTCAGGATCCTCTCTGGGCTCTGACCTGGTAGCGCCAGGAGAGCCAGGACTCGGGGAAGCCGTGGCACAGGCAGAGGGCGGGGCCCACGCCCAGCTCCACAAAGTGCAGCTGCACCCCGGGCTGGGGGGAGAACCAAACATGGAAACCACGGGAATGGGAATAATAAACCATGGGAATGGAAATGGGAACCACGGAATGGGAATAATAAACCATGGGAATGGGAATGGAAACCACGGGAATGGAAACCATGGGAATGGGAATGGGAACCACAGGAATGGAAACCATGGGAATGAAAATGGAAACCGTGGGAATGGGAATGGAAACCGTGGGAATGGGAATAAAAACCATGGGAATGGAAATAAAAACCACGGGAATGGGAATGGAAACCACGGGAATGGGAATGAAAACCATGGGAGTGGGAATAAAAACCATGGGAATGGAAATAAAAACCACGGGAATGAAAACCATAGGAATGGAAATAAAAACCATGGGAATGGGAATGGAAACCATGGGAGTGGAAATAAAAACCATGGGAATGGAAATAAAACCACGGGAATGGAAATGAAAACCACGGGAATGGGAATGAAAACCACGGGAATGGAAATGAAAACCATGGAAATGGAAACCATGGAAATGGGAATAAAAACCATGGGAATGGAAATAAAACCACGGGAATGGGAATGAAAACCATGGGAATGGGAATGGAAATAAAAACCATGGGAATGGAAACCGTGGGAATGGGAATAAAAACCATGGGAATGGAAATGAAAACCATGGAAATAAAAACCATGGGAATGGAAATGAAAACCTTGGGAATGGAAATAAAAACAATGGGAATCCTGCAGGGAGCCAGGAAAATGCGGGAATGGACGTTCCGGCCCTTCCCGGAGTGAGGAAAATGCGGGAACGGACATTCCTGCCCTTCCCAGATCCAGGAAAATGCGGGAACGGACGTTCCAGCCCTTCCTGGATCCAGGGAAATGCGGGACACGGACGTTCCGGCCCTTCCCGGAGCGCAGATGATCCCAAGGTCGGAAATCCCGGCCATGCCCGAGATTCCGGCCATTCCCAGATATCCCAGAGGATCCCAGCCTGAGATTCCACCCACCCCCAGAAGATCCCAGCCCAGGATCCCACCCATTCCCCAGATCCCAGAAGATCCCAGCCTGAGATTCCACCCATTCCCAGATGTTCCCACCCATTCCCCGAAGATCCCAGAAGATCCGGAATCCCAGTCATTCCCAGAAGATCCCAGCCATTCCCCATTCCCAGACGATCCCAACCTCGATTCCCAGATCCCAGAAGATCCCAGCCTGGGATTCCACCCATTCCCCAGATCCTAGAAAGTCCCAGTCTGGATTCCCAAATCCCAGCAGATCCCGGCCTGGATTCCCAAATCCCACAAGATCCCAGAAAATCCCAGCCATTCCCAGAAAATCCTAGAAAATCTCAAATCCCAGAAAATCCCAGCCTGGATTCCCAGATCCCAGCAGATCCCAGCCTGGGTTCCCAAATCCCACAAGATCCCAGTCTCGATTCCTGAATTCCACAAGATCCCATAAAATCCCGGCCTGGGATCCCAAATCCCACAAGATCCCAGATCCCAAAATATCCCAGAAAATCCCAGCCATTCCCAAAAGATCCAGCCTGGAATCCCAAATCCCACAAAATCCCAGAAAGTCCCAAATCCCACAAGATCCCAGAAAAATCCCAGATCCCACAAAATCCCAGTCTGGATCCTCCAATCCCTGAAATTCCAAGGAAATCCCAAATCCCAGCAGATCCCTGCCCGGGTTCCCAAATCCCACAGGATCCCAGAAAATCCCAAATCCCAGAAAATCCCAGCCTGGAATCCCAAATCCCAGCAGATCCCAGATCCCAAAATATCCCAGAAAATCCCAGCCCGGATTCCCAAATCCCAGAAAATCCCAGCCCGGAATTCCAAATCCCAGCAGATCCCAGAAAATCTCAAATCCCACAGGATCCCAGCCTGGAATCCCAGCCATTCCCAGAATCCAGCCCGGATTCCCAAATCCCAGCAAATCCCAACCTGGAATCCCAAATCCCACAAGATCCTAGAAAATCCCAAATCCCAGCAGATCCCAGCCTGGATTCCCAGATCCCAGAACTCCCAGATCCCAAAATATCCCACAAAATCCCAGCCATTCCCAGCAGATCCCAGTCTGGAATCCCAGATCCCAGCAGATCCCAGCAGATCCCAGCAGATCCCACAAAATCCCAGCCTGGATTCCTGAATCCCACAGGATCCCAGAAGATCTCAAATCCCACAGCATCCCAGCCCGGATTCCCAAATCCCAGCAGATCCCAGCCTGGATTCCCCAATCCCACAAGATCTCAGAAAATCCCCAATCCCAGAAAATCTCAGTTCAGGTTCCCCAATCCCAGCAAATCCCAGCCTGGATTCCCAGATCCCAGCAGATCCCAGATCCAAAAATATCCCAGATAATCCCAGCCATTCCCAGCAAATCCCAGCCGGGAATCCCAAATCCCAGCAGATCCCAGCCCGGGTTCCTGAATCCCACAAGAGCCCAGAAAACCCCAAATCCCAGAAAATCCCAGCCCGGAATTCCCAAATCCCAGCAGATCCCAGACAATCTCAAATCCCACAGGATCCCAGTCTGGATTCCCCAATCCCACAAGATCCCAGCCTGGAATCCCAGCCATTCCCAGAATCCAGCCCGGATTCCCAAATCCCAGAAAATCCCAACCTGGAATCCTGAATCCCACAAGATCCTAAAAAAATCCCAAATCCCAGCAGATCCCGGCCTGGGTTCCCCAATCCCAGAAAATCCCAGAAAATCCCAAATCCCGGCGGATCCCGGCCCATGTTCCCGTGTTCCCGTGCTCCCCCCATGTTCCCGTGTTCCCGTGTTCCCGTGTTCCCATGTTCCCGTGCTCCCCCCATGTTCCCGTGTTCCCGTGTTCCCGTGTTCCCATGTTCCCGTGTTCCCCCCATGTTCCCATGTTCCCATGTTCCCGTGTTCCCCTGTTCGTTCCCATGTTCCCGTGTTCCCGTGTTCCCCCCATGTTCCCGTGTTCCCGTGTTCCCGTGTTCCCCCCATGTTCCCATGTTCCCGTGTTCCCATGTTCCCGTGTTCCCATGTTCCCGTGTTCCCATGTTCCCATGTTCCCGTGTTCCCATGTTCCCGTGTTCCCGTGTTCCCATGTTCCCATGTTCCCATGTTCCCGTGTTCCCCCCATGTTCCCATGTTCCCATGTTCCCGTGTTCCCCCCATGTTCCCGTGTTCCCGTGTTCCCATGTTCCCGTGTTCCCATGTTCCCGTGTTCCCATGTTCCCGTGTTCCCGTGTTCCCGGGTTCCCGTGTTCCCGTGTTCCCCCCATGTTCCCATGTTCCCGTGTTCCCATGTTCCCGTGTTCCCCCCGTGTTCCCATGTTCCCATGTTCCCATGTTCCCGTGTTCCCATGTTCCCATGTTCCCCCCATGTTCCCATGTTCCCCCCATGTTCCTGTGTTCCCATGTTCCCATGTTCCCGTGTTTGTTCCCATGTTCCCGTGTTCCCCCCGTGTTCCCATGTTCCCGTGTTCCCATGTTCCCCCATGTTCCCGTGTTCCCATGTTCCCATGTTCCCATGTTCCCGTGTTCCCATGTTCCCATGTTCCTCCCATGTTCCCATGTTCCTGTGTTCCCATGTTCCCCCATGTTCCCATGTTCCCGTGTTCCCATGTTCCCGTGTTCCCGTGTTCCCATGTTCCCATGTTCCCGTGTTCCCATGTTCCCGTGTTCCCATGTTCCTGTGTTCCCATGTTCCCCCATGTTCCCGTGTTCCCATGTTCCCCCATGTTCCCATGTTCCCCCATGTTCCCATGTTCCCGTGTTCCCATGTTCCCATGTTCCCGTGTTCCCATGTTCCCATGTTCCCGTGTTCCCATGTTCCCGTGTTCCCATGTTCCCATGTTCCTGTGTTCCCATGTTCCCCCATGTTCCCATGTTCCCATGTTCCCGTGTTCCCGTGTTCCCGTGTTCCCATGTTCCCGTGTTCCCGTGTTCCCCCCATGTTCCCGTGTTCCCATGTTCCCGTGTTCCCCCCGTGTTCCCGTGTTCCTCCCGTGTTCCCGTGTTCCCATGTTCCCCCATGTTCCCGTGTTCCCGTGTTCCCGTGTTCCCGTGTTCCTCCCGTGTTCCCATGTTCCCCCATGTTCCCGTGTTCCCATGTTCCCGTGTTCCTCCCATGTTCCCGTGTTCCCCCCGTGTTCCCGTGTTCCCGTGTTCCCATGTTCCCATGTTCCCCCATGTTCCCATGTTCCCGTGTTCCCATGTTCCCGTGTTCCTCCCATGTTCCCCCCATGTTCCCGTGTTCCCATGTTCCCGTGTTCCCCCCGTGTTCCCATGTTCCTCCCGTGTTCCTCCCATGTTCCCGTGTTCCTCCCATGTTCTCCATGTTCCCCCCGTGTTCCCATGTTCCCATGTTCCCGTGTTCCCATGTTCCCGTGTTCCCGTGTTCCCGTGTTCCCGTGTTCCCGTGTTCCCCCCGTGTTCCCCCCGTGTTCCTCCCGTGTTCCCCCCGTGTTCCGTACCCGGATCTGGACCATTCCGTGCGCGACCTCATCGGGAGTCACCGGCTCCAGATCCTCCAGGCCCAGCAGCTGCCGGGATCATTGGGGAATTGTGGGATTTGGGGATTTGGGATCGGGGATTTGGGATTTGGGATCAGAGATTTCAGGATTTGGGATCAGGGGTTTGGGATCAGGGATTTGGGATGGGGGATTTGGGGATTTATGGGGGTTTTTGGGATTTGGGGATTTTTGGGATCGGGGGTTTGGGGATTTGGGGATTTTTTGGGATCTGGGACTTGGGGATTTTTGGGATTTGGGGATTTTTGGGATTCGGGATCAGGGATTTGGGGATTTTTGGGATCAGGGTCTCCTCCCATCCCAGCCCCCTCAGCGCCCCCACCCCCGGCCCCTCTGCCCCCCTGGGACCCCAGGGAATTCCCCACCCCATGGGACCCCAGCAGGGCCCCGGGATGGGAATTCCGGGAATTTTCCCGTGCCTGGATCCCGGTGAGCTCCTGGAGCTCCCTCAGCGCCGCCTCCGTGTCCCGGCCCAGCACGGCGGCCGCGCCCAGAGCCCGCGCCGCCACCACGGCCGCCTCCCGAGCCTCCACAAACAACACCTGGGAAACCGGGAAACAACCAAAAAACACCAAAAAACACCAAAAACCAAAAAACGGGAATTTCGGGATGGTGGAGGTGGCATCTCCCGGGGCTTCACATTGCCGGGAATGTCCAAGGATTTGGGGGATGGACAATTCCAAATTTTCTGGGGTTTTGGGATTGTGGTGGCATCTCCCAGGGCTTCACATTCCCAGGAATATCCAAGGATTCAACCACGGATTCATGGGATTGGAAAATTCCAAGTTTTTTTGATTTTTGGGATTGTGGTGGCATCTCCCGAGGCCTCAAATCCATGGGAATACCCAAAGATTTGGGGGATGGACAATTCCAAATTTTCTTGGGTTTTTTTGGGATTGTGGTGGCATCTCCGAGGGCTTCACATTCCCAGGAACATCCAAGGATTCATCCAAGGATTTCTGGGATTGGAAAATTCCAAATTTTCTGTTCTTTTGGGATGGAGGTGGCATCTCCCAAGGCTTCAAATGCCTGGGAACACCCAAGGATTTGGGGGATGGACAATTCCAAATTTTCTGGGTTTTTTTGGGATTGTGGTGGCATCTCCTGGAGCTTCCCAACCCTCAACACCCAAGGATTTGGATGATGGAAAACCCCAAATTTTCCGGGATTTTGGTGGCATCTCCCAAGGCTTCCCAACCCTGGTACCACCCATGGATTTGGATGATGGAAAACCCCAAATTTTTGGGATTTTGATGGCATCTCCTGGAGCTTCCCAACCCCGGCACCTTCCAAGGATTTGGATGACAGAAAACCCCAATTTTCCAGGATTGTGATGGCATCTCCCGAGGCTTCCCAACCCCGGTACCACCCAAGGATTTGGATGGAAGAAAACCCCAATTTTTCCGGGATTTTGGTGCCATCTCCCGAGACTTCCCAACCCCGGTACCACCCAGGGATTTGGATGATGGAAAACCCCAATTTTTCCAGAATTTTGGTGGCATCTCCCGAGGTTTCCCAACCCTGACAACATCCAAAGATTTGGGACATGGCCAACTCCCATTCCCAGATTTTTTTGGGATTTTGGTGGCATCTCCCAAGGCTTCCCAAGCCCGGTACCACCCAAGGATTTGGATGATGGAAAACCCCAAATTTTTGGGATTGTGGTGACATCTCCTGGAGCTTCCCAACCCTGAGAACATCCAAGGATTTGGGACATGGCCAACTCCCATTCCCAGAATTTTTTGTGATTTTGGTAGAATCTTTTGGAGTTTCCCAACCCTGAGAACACCCAAGGATTTGGATGATGGAAAATCCCAATTTTCCAGGATTGTGGTGGCATCTCCCGGGGCTTCACAATCCTCAGAAAATCCCAAGATTTGGGGGATGGCCAATCCCTCATTCCCTGGAATTTTCTGGATTGTGGTGGCATCTCCCGGGGCTTCACATTCCCAGGAACATCCAAGGATTTGGGGGATGGACAATTCCAAATTTTCTTGGTTTTGGGATTGTGGTGGCATCTCCCGGGGCTTCAAATCCCTGGGAACACCCAAGGATTTGGGGGATGGACAATTCCAAATTTTCTGGTGTTTTTGGGATTGTGGTGGCCTCTCCTGGAGCTTCCCAACCCCGGTACCACCCAAGGATTTGGATGACGGAAAACCCCAAATTTTTGGGATTTTGGTGGCATCTCCCGAGGTTTCTCAACCCCAGTACCACCCAAAGATTTGGATGATGGAAAACCCCAATTTTTCAGGATTGTGGTGGCATCTCCCGAGGCTTCCCAACCCTCAACACCCAAGGATTTGGATGACGGAAAACCCCAAATTTTTGGGATTTTGATGGCATCTCCCGGAGCATCCCAACCCTCAACATCCAAGGATTTGGATGACAGAAAATTCCAATTTTCCGGGATTGTGGTGGCATCTCCTGGAGCTTCCCAACCCCGGTACCCCCCAAGGATTTGGATGACAGAAAATCCCAATTTTTCCGGGATTGTGGTGGCATCTCCCAAGGCTTCCCAACCCCGGTACCACCCAAGGATTTGGATGATGGAAAACCCCGAATTTTTGGGATTTTGATGGCATCTCCTGGAGCATCCCAACCCTGAGAACATTAAAGGATTTGGATGATGGAAAACCCCAATTTTTGGGATTTTGGTGGCATCTCCCGAGGTTTCCCAACCCTCAACATCCAAGGATTTGGATGAAGAAAACCCCAATTTTTGGGATTTTGGTGCCATCTCCCGAGGCTTCCCAACCCTGACAACATCCAAGGATTTGGATCATGGAAAACCCCAATTTTCCGGGATTTTGGTGCCATCTCCCGAGGCTTCCCATCCCTGACAACACCCAAGGATTTGGATGACAGAAAACCCCAAATTTTTCAGGATTGTGGTGGCATCTCCCAGGGCTTCCCAACCCCGGTACCACCCAAAGATTTGGATGATGAAAAACCCCAAATTTTTGGGATTTTGGTGGCATCTCCCAAGGCTTCCCAACCCCAAGAACATCCAAGGATTTGGATGACGGAAAATTCCAATTTTCCAGGATTGTGGTGGCATCTCCCAGGGCTTCACATTCCCGATACCACCCAAGGATTTGGATGACGGAAAACCCCAAATTTTTGGGATTTTGATGGCATCTCCCGGAGCCTCCCAACCCTCAACATCCAAGGATTTGGATGACAGAAAATCCCAATTTTCCAGGATTCTGGTGGCATCTCCTGGAGCATCCCAACCCTGGTACCACCCAAGGATTTGGATGATGAAAAACCCCAAATTTTTGGGATTTTGGTGGCATCTCCTGGAGCTTCCCAACCCCGGTACCACCCAAAGATTTGGATCATGGAAAACCCCAAATTTTTGGGATTTTGATGGCATCTCCTGGAGCTTCCCAACCCTGACAACATCCAAGGATTTGGATGATGGAAAACCCCAAATTTCCAGGATTTTGATGGCATCTCCTGGAGCATCCCAACCCTGAGACCACCCAAGGATTTGGGGGATTGGACGATCCCAAATTTTCTGGGTTTTTTGGGATTGTGGTGGCATCTCCTGGGGCTTCCCAACCTTAACAACATCCAAGGATTTGGATGATGGGAAATCCCAATTTTTCCAGGATTTTGGTGGCATCTCCCAAGGCTTCCCAACCCTGACAACATCCAAGATCTGGGAGATTCCCAACCCACCATTCCCAGATTTTTTCCGGGATTGTGGTGGCATCTCCCAAGGCTTCCCATCCCCAAGAACATTAAAGGATGTGAAGGACGGAAAACCCCAAATTTTTGGGATTTTGGTGGCATCTCCCGAGGCTTCCCAACCCCGAGACCATCCAAGGATTCATCCAAGGATTTGAGGGATGGACAATCCTCATTCCCAGATTTTTTTTGGGGATTGTGGTGGCATCTCCTGGAGCTTCCCAACCCTGAGAACATCCAAGGATTTGGATGACAGAAAATCCCAATTTTTGGGATTTTGGTGGCATCTCCCGATGTTTCCCAACCCTGAGAACATCCAAGGATTTGGGACATGGCCAACTCCCATTCCCAGAATTTTTTGTGATTTTGGTAGAATCTTTTGGAGTTTCCCAACCCTGACAACACCCAAGGATTTGGATGATGGAAAATCCCAATTTTCCAGGATTGTGGTGGCATCTCCCGGGGCTTCACAATCCTCAGAAAATCCCAAGATTTGGGGGATGGCCAATCCCTCATTCCCTGGAATTTTCTGGATTGTGGTGGCATCTCCCGGGGCTTCACATTCCCGGGAATGTCCAAGGATTTGGGGGATGGACAATTCCAAATTTTCTGGGTTTTTTGGGATGTGACGGAATCTCCCAAGGCCTCAAATCCCTGGGAAGACCCAAAGATTTGGGGGATGGAAAATTCCAAATTTTCTGGTTTTTGGGATTGTGGTGGCATCTGCTGAGGCTTGACATTCCCAGGAACATCCAAGGATTCAACCACGGATTTGTGGGATTGAAATTTTTCTCATTTTTTGGGATGGTGGTGGCATCTCCCAGGGCTTCACATTCCCAGGAATAGCCAAGGATTTGGAGGATGGACAATTCCAAATTTTCTGGGTTTTTTGGGATTGTGGTGGCATCTGATGAGGTTTCACATTCCCAGGAATATCCAAGGATTCAATCAAGGATTTGGGGGATGGACAATTCCAAATTTTCTGTTCTTTTGGGATTGTGGTGGCATCTCCCGGGCTTCACATTCCCAGGAACATCCAAGGATTCAACCACGGATTCGTGGGATTGAAAAATTCCAAATTTCCTGGGTTTTTTGGGATTGTGACGGAATCTCCCAAGGCCTCAAATTCCTGGGAAGACCCAAAGATTTGGAGGATGGACAATTCCAAATTTTCTGGTTTTTTGGGAATCTGGTGGCATCTCCCAGGGCTTCAAATCCCTGAGACCATCCAAGGATTTGGGGATGGACAATTCCAAATTTTCTTGGTTTTTTTGGGATTTTGATGGCATCTCCCGGGGCTTCCCAACCCTGACAACACCCAAGGATTTGGATGACAGAAAACCCCAAATTTTCCGGCATTTTGGTGCCATCTCCCGCGGTTTCCCGCCCCGGTACCCCCCTGCCGCGCTCCTTGCCATTCCCACCCCTCCATTCCCGGGATATTTCTGTGTTTCCCCCCGGAAACCCCGGCCGGTGCCGTCACCTCGTGCGGCGGCGCCCCCAGGGCGCGCAGGGCGCAGGCGAAGGCCTCGGGCTGGGGTTTGGCGGCGCCGATCCGGCAGGATTCCAGCACGGGCCGGAAGCGGCGCCGCAGCCGCTCCTGCAGCGCCCCCCAGAGGCGGCGCCGGGCGCTGTCGTCCAGCCAGGAGTCGGCCAGGACGCACGGCTGCACTCCTGCACAGGGGAGGGAACGAATGAATGAACGCCGCCGTTCCCAGCGTTCCCGGAATTGCCGGAATTGCCGGAATTGCCGGAATTGCCGGAATTCCCTGGTCCGGGTGGCCGCCCTCAGCGGCCGCCGTTGCCAACATTACAAACGCGGCATTCCCAGCATTTCCAGCATCCCTAACATCCCCAACATTCCCAACATTCCAAACCCAACATTCCCAACATTCCCAAGGTTCCAGACCAAGCATCTCCAAGGTTCCAGACCCAACATTCCCAGCATTCCATTCCCAACATTCCCAGCATTCCAGACCCAACATTCCCAACATTCCATTCCCACCAGACCAAACATCTCCAACGTTTCAGACCCAGCATCCCCAACATTCCAAACTCAACATTCCCAACATTTCCAAGGTTTCAGACCCAACATCCCCAACATTCTGGACCCACCATTCCCAACATTCCATCCCCACCACTCCCAACATTCCAAACCAAACATTCCCAACATTCTAAACCAAGCATTCCCAACATTCCATCCTCACCGTTCCCATCATTCTGGACCCACCATTCCCAACATTCCCAAGGTTCCAGACCAAACCTCTCCAAGGTTTCAGACCCAACATTCCCAACGTTCTGGGCCTACCATTCCCAACATTCCAAACCCAATGTTCCCAACATTCCAAACCAAACATTCCCAACATTCCGGACCCACCATTCCCAACGTTCCCAAGGTTCCCAGACCAAACGTCCCCAAGGTTTCAGACCAAAAATTCCCAACATTCCAAACCCAACATTCCCAACATTCCCAAGGTTCCAGACCAAGCATCTCCAAGGTCTCAGACCCAACATGCCCAACATTCTGGGCTTACCATTCCCAACATTCCAGACCCAACATTCCCAACATTCCAAACCCAACATTCCAAACCCAACATTCCCAAGCTTCCATTCCACCATGCCAACATTCCCAACATCCCCACCATTCCCACCATTCCCAACATTCCATTCCCTCCATTCCCACCATTCCCAATGTTCCAGAGCCACCATTCCCAACGTTTCCACCATTCCCACCATCCCACACCCCAACAACCCCATTCCCAACCTTCCCTGCATTCCCACCATTCCCTTCCCACCATTCCCACCATTCCATCCCCAACATTCCAAACCCAACGTTCCCAGAATTCCGAACCCAGCATTCCCAACATTCCCAAGGTTCCCAGACCAAACCTCCCCAAGGTTTCAGACCCAACATTCCCAACGTTCTGGGCCTACCATCCCCACCATTCCAAACCCACCATTCCCAACATTCCCAACATTCTGGACCCGCCACCCCAGCATTCCCAAGGTTCCATTCCCACCATTCCATTCCCACCACCCCAACATTCCCAAGGTTCCAGACAAAACATCTCCAAGGTTTCAGACCCAACATTCCCAACGTTTTGGGCCTACCATTCCCAACATTCCAAACCCACCGTTCCCAACATTCCAAACCCAGCATTCCCAACATTCCGGACCCACCATTCCCAACGTTCCCAAGGTTCCCAGACCAAACCTCTCCAAGGTTTCAGACCCAACAATCCCAACATTCCAGACCCACCATATTCCATTCCCAACATTCCATCCCCAACATTCCATTCCCACCATTCCCAACATTCCAAACCCAATGTTCCCAACATTCTCAAGTTTCCAGACCAAGCATCTCCAAGGCTCCAGACCCAGCATTCCGAATGTTCTGGACCCACCACCCCCAGCATTCCATCCCCAACATTCCCAAGGTTTCAGACCCACCACATTCCATCCCCACCACTCCCAACATTCCCAACGTTCAGGACCCACCATTCCCAACATTCCAAACCCATCATCCCCAACATTCCCAGGGCTCCAGACCAAACCTCTCCATGGTTTCAGACCCAACATCCCCAACGTTCTGGGCCTACCATTCCCAACATTCCATTCCCAACATTCCCAACATTCCAGACCCACCACATTCCATTCCCGCCATCCCCAACATTCCGAACCCAGCATTCCCAACATTCCCAAGGTTCCAGACCAAACCTCTCCAAGGTTTCAGTCCCACCATTCCCAACATTCCAAACCCAACGTTCCCACCATTCTGATCCCAACATTCCCAACATTCTCAAGATTCCAGACCAAACCTCTCCAAGGTTTCAGACCCAACAATCCCAACATTCCATCCCCACCATCCCAACATTCCAAACCCAACATTCCCACCATTCTGAACCCAGCATTCCCAACATTTCCAAGGTTCCAGACCAAAAATTCCCAACATTCCGAACCCAACATTCCCAACATTCTGAAGCCACCATCCCAACATTCCAGACCCAGCATTCCCAACATTCCCAAGGTTTCCAGACCAAACCTCTCCAAGGTTTCAGACCCAACAATCCCAACATTCCATCCCCACCATCCCAACATTCCCAACCCAACATTCCCACCATTCTGAACCCAGCATTCCCAACATTTCCAAGGTTCCAGACCAAAAATTCCCAACATTCCGAACCCAACATTCCCAACATTCTGAAGCCACCATCCCAACATTCCAGACCCAGCATTCCCAACATTCCCAAGGTTTCCAGACCAAACCTCTCCAAGGTTTCAGACCCAACATTCCCAACATTCCAAACCCAACATTCCCAACATTCTGACCATCCCATTCCTACCATTCCCAATGTTCCAGAGCCACCATTCCCAACATTTCCACCATTCCCACCATCCCACATTCCAACCATTCCATTCCCACCATTCCCACCATTCCATCCCCACCGTTCCCACTGTTCCCAGCGTTCAGGACCCACCATTCCCAATATTCCATTCCCACCACTGCAACATTCCCAAGGTTCCAGACAAAACATCTCCAAGGTTTCAGACCCAACATTCCCACCATTCCATCCCCACCATCCCCAACATTCCAAACCAAACGTTCCAGTCCCACCATTCCCAACATTCCCAATCTTCCACACCAAACATCTCCAAGGTTTCAGACTCACCATCCCCAACATTCCATCCCCACCATTCCCACCATTCCCAACATTCCAAACCCAACATTCCCACCATTCTGACCCCACCATTCCCAACATTCCCAAGGTTCCCAGACCAAACCTCTCCAAGGTTTCAGACCCAACATTCCCAACATTCTGGCCTTCCCATCCCCAACCCACCATTCCCAACATTCCCAACATTCCCAACATTCCCAAGGTTCCAGGCCAAACATCCCCACCATTCCATCCCCACCACTCCCAACATTCCAAACCAACCATTCCATTCCCACCATCCCCAACATCCCCAACATTCCCAACGTTCCATCCCCACCATTCCCACCATTCCAAACCCAACATTCCCAACATTCCCAAGGTCCCAGACCAAACCTCTCCAAGGTTTCAGACCCACCATCCCCAACATTCCAAACCAAACATTCCCAACATTCCATTCCCACCATCCTCAGCATTCCCACCACCCCCAACATTCCAAACCCAGCATTCCCAGCATTCCGGACCCAACATTCCCAACATTCCCAACGTTCCAGACCAAACATCTCCAAGGTTTCAGACCCAACATTCCCAACATTCCATCCCCACCATCCCCAACATTCCATTCCCAACATTCCCAACATTCCCAAGGTTTCAGACCCACCATCCCCACCATTCCATTCCCAACATTCCAGACCTCTCCAACGTTCCAGTCCCAACGTTCCCAACATCCCATTCCCAACATCCCCAACATTCCAGACCCACCCCATCCCATTCCCAGCATTCCCCAGGATCCCCGGCATTCCCGGCATTCCCCCCGGCATTCCCCCCGGGACCCCCCCATCATTCCCGGGGCTCAGCCCGCACCGTGCTCCCGCAGCCGCGTCGCCGCCCGCAGCATCCGGGGCTCGAGGCGGCCGCGCTCCAGGAGCTCCCGGAAGGGCCGGGACACCGCGAACCCCTCGGGAACGGCCGCGCCCAGGGAGCGGAGCCGCGCCCGGCACCGCGCGTCCAGCTCCGCCAGCAGCTGAGGGGGGAAAAAATAACGGGGATCAGGGAATTCCCGAAATTCCGGGGGGTGAGAAATACCCCAAAACCCGGGAAATTCTCTGTTGGGGAATAGCCCAAAATCTGGGAAATTCCTGGGTGGGGAATACCCCAAAATCTGGGAAATTCATGGGTGGGAAAACGGAGAAATCTTGGGGAAATCCTGGATGGAAAAATCCCAAAATCCGGGAAATTCTCATTTAGGGAATACCCCAAAATCTGGGAAATTCATGGGTGGGAAAGTGGAGAAATCTTGGGGAAATCCTGGATGGGAAAACAGAGAAATCTGGGAAATTCTCTGTTAGGGAATACCCCAAAATCTGGGAAATTCCCTGGTTGGGAAAGCGGAGAAATCTTGGAGAAATCCTGGATGGAAAAACCCCAAAATCTGGGAAATTCTCTTTGAGGGAATACAGGAAAATCTGGGAAATTCCTGGTTGGGAAAACCCCAAAATCTGGGAAATTCTCCGTTAGGAAAAACAGCAAAATCTGGGAAATTCCTGGTTGGGAAAGCAGAGAAATGTTGGAGAAATCCTGGATGGAAAAACCCCAAAATTCTGGAGAAATCCCAGTTGGAAATGCCCCAAAATTTGGGATATTCCCAGTTGGAAAAGCCCCAAAATGCAGAAAAAATTCCTGGCTGGAAAAGCTTCAAAATCTGGGAAATTCCTGGATGGAAAAACCCCAAAATTTGGGAGAAATCCCAGTTGGAAAAGCCCTAAAAATTCCAGGAAATTCCCCGTTGGAAATGTCCCAAAATCTGGGAAATTCTCAGGAAAAACAGCAAAATCTGGGAAATTCTCGGGTGGAAAAGTGGAGAAATCTTGGAGAAATCCTGGATGGAAAAATCCCAAAACCTGGGAAATTCTCAGTTAAGGAAAAACAGCAAAATCTGGGAAATTCCTGGTTGGGAAAACTCCAGAATCTGGGAAATTCCCAAATGGAAAAGCCCCAAAAATCCAGAGAAATCCCAGTTGGAAAAGCCCCAAAAATTCCAGGAAATTCCCAGTTGGAAATGTCCCAAAATCTGGGAAATTTTTGGTTGGAAAAGCATCAAAATCTTGGAGAAATCCTGGATGGAAAAATCCCAAAATCCGGGAAATTCTCAGGAAAAACAGCAAAATCTGGGAAATTCCTGGTTGGGAAAGCAGAGAAATCTTGGAGAAATCCTGGATGGAAAACCCCCAAAATCTGGGAAATTCTCAGTTAGGAAAAACAGCAAAATCTGGGAAATTCCTGGTTGGGAAAGCAGAGAAATCTTGGAGAAATCCTGGATGGAAAAACCCCAAAATTCTGGAGAAATCCCAGTTGGAAATGCCCCAAAATTTGGGATATTCCCAGTTGGAAAAGCCCCAAAATGCAGAAAAAATTCCTGTCTGGAAAAGCTTCAAAATCTGGGAAATTCCTGGATGGAAAAACCCCAAAATTTGGGAGAAATCCCAGTTGGAAAAGCCCTAAAAATTCCAGGAAATTCCCCGTTGGAAATGTCCCAAAATCTGGGAAATTCTTGGCTGGAAAAGTGGAGAAATCTTGGAGAAATCCTGGATAGAAAAATCCCAAAATCTGGGAAATTCTCACTTAGGAAAACAGGAAAATCTGGGAAATTCCTGGTTGGGAAAAGCGGAGAAATCTGGGGAATTCCTGGTTGGAAAAGTGGAGAAATCTTGGGGAAATCCTGGGTGGAAAAATCACAAAATCTGGGAAATTCTCAGTTAAGGAAAAACAGCAAAATCTGAGAAATTCCTGGTTGGGAAAGAGGAGAAATCTAGGAAATTCCCGGTTGGAAAAATCCCAAAATCTGGGAAATTCTCAGTTAGGGAATACAGCAAAATCTGGGAAATTCCCTGGATGGAAAAATCACAAAATCCAGGAAATTCTCTGTTAGGGAATACAGAAAAATCTGGGAAATTCTCGGTTGGAAAAGTGGAGAAATCTGGGAGAAATCCTGGTTGGAAAAATCCCAAAATCTGGGAAATTCTCACTTAGGGAAAACAGGAAAATCTGGGAAATTCCTGGTTGGAAAAACTCCAGAATCTGGGAAATTCCCAAATGGAAAAGCCCCAAAAATCCAGGGAAATTCCAGTTGGAAAAGCCCCAAAAATTCCAGGAAATTCCTGGATGGAAAAATCCCAAAATCTGGGAAATTCTCCATTGGAAAAGCATCAAAATCTTGGAGAAATCCTGGATGGAAAAATCCCCAAATTTGGGAAATTCTCAGTTGAAAAAGCCCCAAAATTTGGGAAAAAATCCCAATTGGAAAAGCCCCAAAATCTGGGAAATTCCCGGTTGGAAAAGCCGCAAAATTTGGGAGAAATCCCAGCTGGAAAAGTGGAGAAATCTGGGAAATCCCAGTTGGAAAAGCCCCAAAATTCCAGGAAATTTCCTGCTGAAAAAACCCCAAAATCTGGGGAAATTCTGGGGGGGGGATCCCAAATCCCAGGGTTGATCAAAATCCCAGGAACTTTGGGGTTGATCCCAAATCCCAGAGTGGATCCCAACCCCCGGCTTGGATCCCAGATCCCCATGGTGGATCCCAAATCCCCCAGGGTCGATCCCAAATCCCAGAGCTTGATCCCATAGGTTGATCCCAAATCCCCAAGGGTGGTTCTAAATCCCCATGGTCGATTCCCCAGGGTGGATCCCAAGTCCCCAGGGTGGATCCCAAAGGTTGATCCCAAATCCCAAAGGTCCATTCCAAACCCAGGGCTGACCCCAAATCCCCCAGGGTCGATCCCAAATCCCAAACGTTGATCCCAAAGGTCGATCCCAAATCCCCAGGGTTGATCCCATAGGTTGATCCCAAATCCCCCAGGGTCGATCCCAAATCCCCCAGGGTGGATCCTAAGTCCCCCATGTTGATCCCAAATCCCAGAGCTTGATCCCATAGGTCGATCCCAAATCCCCGAGGTTGATCCCAAATCCCCGAGGTTGATCCCAAATCCCCGAGGTTGATCCCAAATCCCCGAGGTTGATCACACATCCCCCAAGGTGGATCCCAAATCCCCCAGGTCAATCCCCCCGGTCGATCCCAAATCCCCCCGGTCGATCCCAAATCCCCCGGGTGGATCCCAAATCCCAAAGGTTGATCCCAAATCCCCCAGGTCAATCCCACATCCCCAAGGTTGATCCTAAATCCCCAAGGTTGATCCTAAATCCCCAAGGTCGATCCCCAAAGGTGGATCCTAAATCCCCAAGGTGGATCCCAAAGGTGGATCCTAAATCCCCATGGTCGATCCCAAACCTAGGGGTGACCCCAAAACCCCCAGGTGGATCCCAAATCTCCCGGGTCGATTCCGAAGGTGGATCCCCAACCCCCAAGGTCGATCCCCAAAGGTCGATCCAAACTCCCCCGCGTGGATCCTAAATCCCACAGGTGGATCCTGAATCCCCAGGGTCAATCCCAAAGGTTGATCCCGAATCCCAGAGCTTGATCCCATAGGTTGATCCCAAATCCCCCGAGTGGATCCCAAATCCTCCAGGGTCGATCCCAAAGGTTGATCCCAAATCCCCAGGGTGGATCACAAATCCCCAGGGTCGATCCCAAAGGTCGATCCCAAATCCCCAAGGTCGATCCCAAATCCCCAAGGTCGAGCCCAAATCCCCAGGGTCAATCCCAAATCCCCAGGGTCAATCCCCAAAGGTCGATCCCAACTCCCCCGGGTGGATCCCAAAGGTGGATCCCAAATCCCCAAAGGTCGATCCCAAATCCCCCAGGTGGATCCTAAATCCCCAAGGTCGATCCCAAATCCCCAAGGTCGATCCCAACTCCCCCGGGTGGATCCCAAAGGTCGATCCCAAATCCCCCAGGTGGATCCTAAATCCCCAAGGTTGATTCTAAATCCCCAAGGTTGATTCTAAATCCCCCAGGTCATTTCCAAACCCAGGGCTGACCCCAAATCCCCCAGGGTTGATCCCAGATCCCAAACGTTGATCCCAAAGGTCGATCCCAAATCCCCAGGGTGGATTCCAAATCCCACAGGTTGATTGATTCCAAATCCCAAAGGTCGATCCCAAAGGTGGATCCCAAATCCCCATGGTCGATTGCACACCTCGGGGTGACCCCAAATCCCCAGGGTCGATCCCAAATCCCCAGGGTCGATCCCAAAGGTGGGTCCCAAATCCCCATGGTCGATTGCACACCTCGGGGTGACCCCAAATCCCCAAGGTTGATCCCAAATCCCCAGGGTTGATCCCAAACCTAGGGGTCACCCCAAATCCCCAAGGTTGATCCCAAATCCCAAAGGTCAATCCCAAATTCCCAAGGCTGATCCCCAAGGTTGGTCCCAAATCCCCACGGTGGATCCCAACCCCCCCGGGTCGATCCCAAATCCCCCAGGGTCGATCCCAACTCCCCCAGGGTCGATCCTAAATCCCCAAGGTCGATCCCAAATCCCAGAGCTTGATCCCATAGGTTGAAACCAAATCCCCGGGGTTGATCACACATCCCCCAAGGTGGATCCCAAATCCCCCAAGGTCGATCCCAACTCCCCCGGGTGGATCCCAAATCCCAAAGGTTGATCCCAAACCCAAGGTTGATCCCAAATCCCCAAGGTCGATCCCCAAAGGTGGATCCTAAATCCCCAAGGTGGATCCCAAATCCCAGAACTTGATCCCCCCGGTCGATCCCAAATCCCCAGGGTCGATTCCAAAGGTGGATCCTAAATCCCCATGGTCGATCCCAAACCTAGGGGTGACCCCAAATCCCCCAGGTGGATCCCAACTCCCCAAGGTTGGTTCTAAATCCCCATGGTCGATTCCCAAAGGTTGATCCCAAATCCCAGAGCTTGATCCCATAGGTTGATCCCAAATCCTACAGGTTGATCCCAAATACCCAGGGTGGATCCCAAATCCCCATGGTCGATCCCAAATGTGGATCCCAAATCCCCGAGGTGGATCCCAAAGGTTGATCCCAAATCCCCCAGGTCGATCCCAAATCCCCAGGGTGGATCCCCAAGGTGGATCCCAAGTCCCCAGGGTCGATCCCAAACCCCCCAGGTTGATCCCAAAGGTCGATCCCAAATCCCACGGGTGGATCCCAAATCCCACGGGTGGATCCCGAAGGTTGGTCCCAAACCCCCCGGGTCGATCCCAACTCCCCAGGGTCGACCCCAAATCCCAAAGGTTGATCCCAACCCCCCCAGGGTCAATCCCAAAGGTCGATCCCAAATCCCAATGGTCGATCCCAACTCCCCCGGGTGGATCCCAAATCCCCAAGGCCGATCCCAAATCCCACAGGTGGATCCCCAAGGTTGATCCCAAATCCCCAAGGTCGATCCCAGAGGTCGATCCCAAATCTCCAGGGTTGATCCCAACTCCCCCAGGTGGATCCCAAATCCCCCAAGGTCGATCCCAACTCCCCAAGGTGGATCCCCAAGGTCAATCCCAAATCCCAAAGGTTGATCCCAACCCCCCCAGGGTCAATCCCAAAGTTTGATCCCAAATCTCCAGGGTTGATCCCAACTCCCCCAGGTGGATCCCAAATCCCAACGGTCGATCCCAAATCCCCAGGGTGGATCCCCAAGGTCAATCCCAAATCCCAAAGGTTGATCCCAACCCCCCCAGGGTCAATCCCAAAGGTCGATCCCAAATCTCCAGGGTTGATCCCAACTCCCCCAGGGTCGATCCCAACTCCCCCAGGTGGATCCCAGATCCCAGATCCCGATCCCCACCTGGCTGAGGCCGATGTGGCCCCGCAGCGCTCGGGCTCGGGGGCTCTGGGATCCGCCCGAGTCCAGAACGGCCTCAAAGAAACCCCTGGAGAGAAACCCCAAAGGGCAGAGCCCAAAAACACCAAAAACACCAAATTACAGAGCCCAAAAAAACCCCAAAAAACACCAAGGGTCAGAGCCAAAAACACCAAAAACACCAAATCACAGAGCCCAAAAAACCCCATAAAACACCAAGGGTCAGAGCCAAAAACCCCATAAACACCAAATCACAGATCCCAAAAAACCCCATAAACACCAAATCACAGATCCCAAAAAAACCCCATAAAACACCAAATCACAGAGCCCAAAAAAACCCCATAAAACCCCAAGGGTCAGAGCCCATACAAACCCCAAAAACCCCAAGGGTCAGAGCCCAAAAAACCCCAAAAACACCAAGGGTCAGAGCCCATACAAACCCCATAAAACACCAAGGGTCAGAGCCAAAAACACCAAAAACACCAAATCACAGATCCCATACAAACCCCATAAAACACCAAATCACAGATCCCAAAAAAACCCCATAAAACACCAAATCACAGATCCCATAAAAACCCCATAAACACCAAGGGTCAGAGCCCAAAAAACCCCATAAACACCAAATCACAGATCCCAAAAAAACCCCATAAAACACCAAATCACAGATCCCAAAAAAACCCCATAAAACACCAAATCACAGAGCCCATAAAAACCCCATAAAACACCAAGGGTCAGAGCCAAAAAACCCCATAAACACCAAGGGGTCAGAGCCAAAAAAACCCCATAAAACACCAAATCACAGAGCCCATAAAAACCCCATAAACACCAAGGGTCAGAGCCAAAAAACCCCAAAAACACCAAATCACAGATCCCAAAAAAACCCAAGAACACCAAATCACAGAGCCCATAAAAACCCCATAAAACACCAAGGGTCAGAGCCCATACAAACCCCATAAACACCAAAGGGCAGAGCCAAAAACCCCAAAAACACCAAATCACAGATCCCAAAAAAACCCCATAAAACACCAAAGGTCAGAGCCAAAAACCCCAAAAACACCAAAGGTCAGAGCCCATACAAACCCCATAAAACACCAAGGGTCAGAGCCAAAAACCCCAAAAACACCAAATCACAGAGCCCATACAAACCCCATAAAAGACCAAGGGTCAGAGCCAAAAACACCAAAGGTCAGACCCCAAAAAACACCAAGGGTCAAATCCCACAAACCCCAAATCCCAGATCCCATAAAAACCCCAAAGCTCAGATCCCAGAAAAACCCAAACCCCAAAGGTCAAACCCCATAAAATCCCAAACCCCAGATCCCATAAAAACCCCAGACCCCAAATCTCAGATCCCATAAAAACCCCAAAGCTCAGATCCCATCAGAAACCCCAAAGCTCAGATCCCAGAAAACCCCAGACCCCAAAGCTCAGATCCCATAAAAAGCCACAAAGGTCAGATCCCATGAAACCCCAAATCAGGTCCCATAAAAACCCCAAAGCTCAGACCCCACAAAAACTCCAAACCCCAAAGCTCAGATCCCATCAAACCCCAAATCCCAGATCCCATAAAAACCCCAAACCCCCAAGGTGAAATCCCCATAAAACCCCAAAGGTCAGACCCCATAAAAGCCAAATCAGATCCCATAAAAACCCCAAACCCCAAATCACAGATCCCAGAAAAACCCAAACCCCAAAGATCAAACCCCATAAAATCCCAAATCCCAGATCCCATAAAACCCTAAACCCCAAAGGTGAAACCCCATAAAGACCCCAAAGGTCAAATCCCATAAAACCCCAAAGCTCAAATCCCAAAAATCCCAAACCCCAAAGCTCAGATCCCATAAAAACCCCAAACCCCAAATCCCAGATCCCCAAATCCCACATCCCAAGAAGCCCCAAAGCCCAGATCCCATAAAAACCCAGATCCCAAAGCTCACATTCCCCAAAAACCCCAAATCCCACATCCCAAAAACCCCAAATCACAGATCCCATAAAAACCTGAACCCCAAAGGTCAAATCCCATAAAAATTCCAAATCCCAAAGCAGAGAACCCATAAAACCCAAAGATCAAATCCCATAAAAAACCCCAAAGCTCAGACCCCATAAAAACCCCAAAGCTCAGACCCCATAAAAACCCCAAACCCCAAAGCTCAGATCCCATAAAAACTCCAAACCCCAAAGCTCAAACCCCATAAAACCCAAATCATAAAGCAGAGACCCCATAAAAACCCAAATCATAAAACAGAGACCCCATAAAACCCCAAACCCCAAAGCTCAGATCCCCAAAAATCCCAAACCCCAAATCCCATACAAGCCCCCAAATCCAAAACCCCAAAGGTCAAATCCCATAAAACCCCAAAGCTCAAATCCCAAAAACCTCAGATCCCATAAAACCCAAATCAGATCCCAAAAACCCCAAAGCTCAGATCCCATAAAAACCCCAAACCCCAAATCCCATAAAACTCCAATGCTCAGATCCCAAAAACCCCAAACCCCAAAGCTCCGATCCCATAAAACCCCAAAGGTCAAATCCCATAAAACCCCAAAGCTCAGACCCCATAAAACCACAAAGGTCAAATCCCATAAAACCCCAAAGCTCAGACCCCATAAAACCACAAAGGTCAAATCCCATAAAACCCCAAAGCTCAGACCCCATAAAAACCCCAAACCCCAAAGCTCAGATCCCCTTAAAAACCCCAAACCCCAAATCCCAAAGACCCCAACCCCAAAGCTCAGATCCCATAAAACCCAAATCCCAAAGTTCAAACCCCAAACTCCCAATCCCAAATCCCAAAAGCCCCAAATCCAAATCCCAAATCCCAAAAATCCCCAAAACCCCAAATCCAAAACCTCAAATCTCAAAAACCCCAAAATCCCCAAATCCCAAAAAATTCCAAATCCCAAAAACCCCAACCCCCAAACCCCAAATCCCCAAATCTCCCAAACCCCAAATCCCAAAAATCCCAAAAAACCCCAAACCCCCAACCCCCAATCCCAAATCTCTCAAACCCCAAATCCCCAAACCCCAAAAAACTCCAGACCCCAAATCCCAAACCCCAAACAAAAAACCCCAAAACCTCAAATCCCCAATACCAAATCCCAAACCCCAAATCCCAAAAAAACCCCAAATGCCAAAACCCCAAAGACCCAAAATCCCAAATCCCCAAACCCCCAAATGACCAAAAATCCCAAACCCCAAATTCCCAAACCCAAACAAAAAACCCCAAAACCTCAAATCCCCAATACCAAATCCCAAAAACCCCAAATCCCAAAAATCCCAAATCCCAATCCTAAACCCCCGATCCCAAGGCCCCAAAACCCCAAATCCCAAATCCCAAAAACCCCAAATCCGCAAAATCCCAAAACCCCAAATCCCAAACCCCAAAAATCCCAGATCCCAAATCCAAAACCTCAAATCTCAAAAACCTCAAAAACCCCAAATCCCAAAAAATTCCCAAATCCCAAATCCTGAAATCCCCAAATCCCAAAAACTCCAAATCCAAATCCCAAAACCCCAAACCCCCAAATCCCAAAAAACCCCAGATCCGAAATCCCAAATCCCAAATCCCAATTCCAAATCCCAAAAGCCCCAAACCCCAAAAATCCCAGATCCCAAATCCAAAACCCCAAATCCCAAAAAATTCCAAATCCCAAATCCTGAAGTCCCCAAATCCAAACCCCAACCCCCAAACCCCAAATTCCCAAATCTCCCAAACCCCAAATCCCAAACCTCAAAAATCCCAAAAAACCCCAAATCCCAAACCCCAAATTCCAAACCCCAAACCCCAAATCCCAAATCACAAAAACCCCAAATCCAAATCTGCAAAATCCCAAATCCAAAACCCCAAATCTCAAAAACCCCAAAAACCCCAAATCCCAAAAAATTCCAAATCCTAAATCCTGAAATCCCCAAATCCAAAAATCCTCAAACCCCAAATCCCAAAACCCCAAACCCCCAAATCCCAAAAAACCCCAGACCCGAAATCCCCAAATCCCAAACCCCTGATCCCAACCCCAAATCCCAACCCCAAATCCCAAACTCCCAATCGCAAATCCCAAAAGCCCCAAATCCAAATCCCAAAGCCCAAAAATCCAAAATTCCAAATCCAAACCCCCAAATCTCAAAAACCCCAAAAACCCCAAAAACCCCAAATCCCAAAAAATTCCAAATCCCAAATCCTGAAATCCCCAAATCCCAAAAACCCCAAATTCAAACCCCAACCCCCAAACCCCAAATCTCCCAAAACTCTAACCCCAAATCCCAAAAATCCCAAAAACCCAAAAAACTCCAGACTCCAAATCCCAAACGCAAAATTCCCAAACCCCAAACAAAAAACCCCAAAACCTCAAATCCCCAATTCCAAATCCCAAACCCCAAATCCCAAAAAACCCCAAATGCCAAAACCCCAAAGACCCAAAATCCCAAATCCCCAAACCCCCAAATGACCAAAAATCCCAAACCCCAAATTCCCAAACCCAAACAAAAAACCCCAAAACCTCAAATCCCCAATACCAAATCCCAAAAACCCCAAATCCCAAAAATCCCAAATCCCAAATCCCAATCCTAAACCCCCGATCCCAAGGCCCCAAAACCCCAAATCCCAAATCCCAAAAACCCCAAATCCGCAAAATCCCAAAACCCCAAATCCCAAACCCCAAAAATCCCAGATCCCAAATCCAAAACCCCAAATCTCAAAAACCTCAAAAACCCCAAATCCCAAAAAATTCCCAAATCCCAAATCCTGAAATCCCCAAATCCCAAAAACTCCAAATCCAAATCCCAAAACCCCAAACCCCCAAATCCCAAAAAACCCCAAACCCCCAAATCCCAAATAACCCCAGACCCGAAATCCCCAAATCCCAAATCCCAAACTCCCAATCCCAAATCCCAAAAGCCCCAAACCCCAAAAATCCCAGATCCCAAATCCAAAACCTCAAATCTCAAAAACCCCAAAAACCCCAAATCCCAAAAAATTCCAGACCCCAAACCCCAAAAAACTCCAGACCCCAAACCCCAAACCCCAAAAACCCCAAACCCCAAAAACCCCAAACCCCAAAAACCCCAAACCCCAAAAATCCCCAAATCCCCCAATTTCCTAAACTCAAACTCCACGCGGGCGGCGCCGCCAACCACAAAATCTCGCGTTGATTCCGTGGGACTCGAGCGCCGCCGCCCCGCATTAACGCTCGGGCGGGCGCCTTCGGCCGTGCCAGGCGCGGCTTTACCAAACCGAGCCCAAACCGAACCGAACCGAACCAAACCGAGCCCAACCGAGCCGGGCCTACCTGGGCAAGGCCCAGTCGCGCTCGCAGGCGTGCAGGAAGTGCTGCAGGCCCGGTTTGAGCAGAACGCCGAGGTCGAAGATCACAGCCCGAGGCGCCATGGCCGCCGCCGGAGCCGGGACTCGAACCCGCGGCCTCGAACTTTGGCCCAGTTTAGACCACGCACTCTCGAAGAAGCCACGCCCCTCACGTCAAAGAAGCCACGCCCCTCACGTCGCCCACAGCAGTAGCCGAAGCCACGCCCCTTCAGCGAAGCCTCTTCCTTCAATCTTTTGGAGGAATTTTTGGGGGGATTTTAAAGAGTTTTGGGAGATTTATTTTTTCTTATTGGGGATTTTTGGGGGGATTTATGGGTTTTAGGATTTTTTTTTATTTTGGGGGCTTTTTGGGGGATTTCTCCCCTCACGTCGCCCACAGCACTCACCGAAGCCGCGCCTCCTCAGCGAAGCCTCTCCCTTCAATTTTTGGGGGAATTTTTGGGGGGATTTTAAAGGATTTTGGGAGATTTTTTTTATTATTATTAGGGATTTTTGGGGGAGATTTTTTTTGGGGGATTTTTTGGTTTTAGGTTTTTTTTTTTATTTTGGGGGCTTTTTAGGGGATTTCTCCCTTCTCGTCGCCCACAGCACTCACCGAAGCCACGCCCCCTCAGCGAAGCCTCTCCCTTCAAACTTTTGGGGTAATTTTCGGGAGGATTTTAAAGGATTTTGGGAGATTTTTTTTATTATTATTGGGGATTTTGGGGGGAGATTTTTTTGGGGATTTTTTGGATTTTAGGTTTCTTTTTTATTTTGGAGGCTTTTTGGGGGATTTCTCCCCTCACGTCGCCCATAGCACCCGCAGAAGCCACGCCCCTTCAGCGAAGCCTCTCCCTTCAAACTTTTGGGGGAATTTTTGGGGGGATTTTAAAGAGTTTTGGGAGATTTTTTTGAGGATTTTTTTGGTTTTTAGGTTTTTTTTTTAATTTTGGGGGCTTTTTGGGGGATTTCTCCCCTCACGTCGCCCACAGCAGCCACAGAAGCCACGCCCCCTCAGCGAAGCCTCTCCCTTCAAACTTTTGGGGGAATTTTTGGGAGGATTTTAAAGAGTTTTGGGAGTTTTTTTTTATTATTGGGGATCTTTGGGGGAGATTTTTGGGGGATTTTTTGGTTTTAGGTTTCTTTTTTATTTTGGGGGCTTTTTGGGGATTTCTCCCCTCACGTCGCCCACAGCACCCACCGAAGCCGCGCCCCCTCAGCGAAGCCTCTCCCTTCAAAATTTGGGAGAATTTTTGGGGGGACTTTAAAGGGTTTTGGGAGATTTTTTTGAGGATTTTTTGGTTTTTAGGGTTTTTTTTAATTTTTGGGGCTTTTTGGGGGATTTCTCCCCTCACGTAGCCCACAGCACTCACCGAAGCCACGCCCTTCGCATACAAAAACCTCGGTGAAGCCACGCCCCCTCCGCGAAGCCGCGCCCCCACATAGTCTACAACGCTCAGCGAAGCCACGCCCCTTCACCGAAGCCACGCCCCTCATATAGCCAGCTGTATTTGGTGAGGCCCCGCCCACTCATGGAAGCCACGCCCATCAAGGCTCTGGCCCCGCCCCCCTTTTCAGTCGGTAAAAATGGGAATTTATTGGGAGATTTTTTTTTTAATTTTTGGGGAAATTTCTTTGGGGAATTTTGGGGGGAATTTTCAGGGAATTAAAAAAAATTCGGGGAAATTTTGGGGAGATTTTTTGGGAATTTCTTTGAAATTTTGGGGCAATTTTAAAACAATTTGGGGAATTTTGGGGGAATTTCTTTTGGAATTTTTAGGGGAATTTTATTTGATTTTTTGGGAATTTTGGGGAGAATTTTAGGGGAAAATTTTGGGAATTTTTCTGGCATTTTTAAAATAATTTTTTGGAGATTTTTTGGGAAATTTTTGGGGATTTTTTGAGATGTTTTGGAATATTGGGGGGATTTTTTTGGAGATTTATTGGGAATTTTGAGGGATTTTTTGAGGAATTTTTTTGGATTTTAAAATATTTTTGGTGAATTTTTTTTTATTTTTTGGGGATTTTTAAGGGATTTTTTTTGGGAATTTTTAAGGGATTTTTGGGATTTTTTGGGCAATTTTTTGGAATTTTAAAGGGATTTTTTGGGAGATTCTATTGGGAATTTTGGGGGATTTTTGAGGGATATTTTGGGGAATTTTTGGGGGGATTTTTTGGAGATTTTGAGGACATTTTTGGGGGATTTTTTGGGCAATTTTTTGGAATTTTTAAGGGATTTTTTGGAGATTCTATTGGGAATTTTTGGGCATTTTTTGAGGATTTTTTTCGTAGATTTTTTAATATTTTTGGGGATTTTTAAGGGATTTTTTTTGAGAATTTTTGGGCAGTTCTCTGGAATTTTTGGGGGATTTTTTGGAGATTTTATTGGGATTTTTTAGGGAATTTTTTGGGACTTTGGGGAATTTTTTGGAGATTTTTTTGGGATCTTTTGGGATTTTTAAGGGATTTTTTGAGAGATTCTATTGGGAATTTTGGGGGATTTTTGCGGGGATTTTTTAAAATTTTTGAAGATTTTTTTTTATTTTTGGGGATTTTTCAGGGATTTTTTTTGAGATTTTGGGGGAATTTTTTTGGAGATTTTGGGGGGATTTTTTTTGGAATTTAAGGGATTTTTTTGTGATTTTTGGGGGGATTTATTGGGAAATTATTGGGATTTTTTGGTCATTTTTGGGAGATTTTAGGGGGATTTTTTGGGGATTTTTGGGCAATTTCTTGAATTTTTTTAAAATTTTTTCGTTCTTTTCATTTTCCAGGAATTGTTTGTGAATTTATTTTGGGATTTCCTCCCCTCCCCCTCGGCGTTAATGGCAAATCCCGAGGAATTCTTGGAATTTTTGGAATTTTCCCGACCTTTGCCCCGACCTAAAAGGAGCAAAAACCTGGAACGGAATCCAGGGCAAAAGCCAAAAATAAACCTGGAAAAAACCCAAAATAAACCTGGAAAAATCCAAATAAACCTGGAAAAAACCCAAAATAAACCTGGAAAAAAAAAACAAAATAAAAATGGAAAAAAACCTGGAAAAAAACCAAAATAAACCTGGAAAAAAACCAAAATAAAAATGGAAAAAAACCTGGAAAAAACCCAAAATAAACCTGGAAAAAAACCCCAAATAAACCTGGAAAAAAACCCCAAATAAAAATGGAAAAAAAACCCAAAAAACCGGGAAAAAAACCCAAAATAAACCTGGAAAAAAACCAAAATAAACCTGGAAAAAAACCCAAAAAAACCCTGGAAAAAACCAAAAAAACCTGGAAAAAAAACTGGAAAAAACCCCAAATAAACCTGGAAAAAAACCAAAATAAAAATGGAAAAAACCCCAAATAAACCTGGAAAAAAACCAAAATAAAAATGGAAAAAACCCCAAAATAAACCTGGAAAAAAATCCCAAATAAAAATGGAAAAAAAACCCAAATAAACCTGGAAAAAAAAACTGTGGAAAAATCCCAAATAAACCTGGAAAAAAACCCCAAATAAACCGGGAAAAAACCAAAATAAAAATGGAAAAAAACCCAAATAAAAATGGAAAAAAACCCCAAAATAAACCTGGAAAAAACCCCAAATAAACCTGGAAAAAAAATCCCAAATAAAAATGGAAAAAAAACCCAAAAAAACCTGGAAAAAAACAAAAAAACCTGGAAAAAAACTGGAAAAAAACCCCAAATAAACCTGGAAAAACCCCAAAATAAAAATGGAAAAACCCCAAATAAACCTGGAAAAAAAAAACCCCAAAAAAAAACCTGGAAAAAACCAAAATAAAAATGGAAATAACCCAAAATAAACCTGGGAAAAACCCAAATAAACCTGGAAAAAAAACCAAAATAAAAATGGGAAAAAACCTGGAAAAAACCCAAAATAAACCTGGAAAAAAACCCCAAAAAAACCTGGAAAAAAACCCCAAATAAACCAAAAAAACCCCCCAAAAATAAAACAAAAAATTTTAAAAAGGGGCAGAAAAAAACCCAAATTTCCCCCAATTTTCCTCATTCTTTCCCATTTTCCCCAAAAAATTTCTGGAATTCACCCTTTTTTCCCAATTTTCCATTTTTTCCCCTTTTTTCCCAATCATTCCCAGCTCAAAAAACCCCAAAATTTGGATTTTTTTCCCATTTTTCCCCATTTTTTCCCATTTTTTTCCCATTTTCCCCCTGTTCTTCCTCCTTTTTTTCCCCATTTTTTTTCCCATTTTCCCCCATTTTTTCCCTGTTTTTTCCCCCATTTTTTCCATTTTCCCATTTTTCCCCCTTTTTTCCCATATTTCTCCCATTTTTTCCCCATTTTTTCCCATTTTTCCCCCATTTTTCGCCCAATTTTTTCCCAATTTTTTTTCAGGAATTCTCTGCCAGAAGCCCCAAAATCTTTGGGATTTTCCCCCCAAACCTTTGGGATTTTTCCCCTTTTTCCCAAATTTCCCCCCCCCATTTTCCCTCCATTTTTTCCACTTTTATTCAAAATTTTCACCAATTTTCCTCACCCAGAAGCCTCAAAATCTCGGGAATTTTCCCCGTTTTCCCCCCTTTTTCCACCAAAAAAATTTGGGGATTTCTCCCCATTTCCCCCAAAATTTGGGAATTTTCACCCCACATTTTCCCCCTTTTTTCCCCATTTTCCCCAAAATTTTGGGATTGTTTTCCCATTTTCCTCCATTTTTCCCCCTTTCCCCCATTTTTCCCCCTAAAAATTCGGGATTTTTTCCCCATTTTCCCCCCTTTTTTCCCCTCAAAAATAATTTCGAATTTTCCCCATCCCCCCCCCCCTTTTTTCCCAATTTTCCCCCCAGAATTTGGGAACTTTTCCCCCAAAATTCGGAAATTTTCCCCCATTTTTTTCCCCAAATTTCGGGAATTTCTCCCCATTTTTCCTCCCATTTTTCCCCCAAATTTTAGGAATTTTCCCCCATTTTCCCCCAAAAATTGGGATTTTTCCTCCCCTTTTTTCCCTAAAATTCGGGAATTTCTCCCCATTTTTCCCCCCAAAAATTGGGAACATTTTCCCTATTTTTTCCCCCAAATTTGGGATTTTTTTTCCCCATTTTTCCCCAAAATTCGGGAATTTCCATTTTCCC